CCCAGGGGATGGACTCCTTGTTTTTGCTGCGCCGATTTGGCACACACTGTCTGTATCTGCTAGGCGTATTCATGCATGCGTGTGTGGGTGCGTTCTTGCTTATGCGAATTGTATTCTACGAATCAATTCGGCCAAAAGCCTACAATCAATGACAGGGAAGTATATGGGAGGCGGTTAGGAGTCGCCTCCAACAAACAAACTCCATCTCCACTCCGGGAGAGCCTGGTAAGCTACCCGTGAGTATACCCAGCCCCCACGTTCAGAACCCAGCAAGCTATACGTGGGTATCAAAATGCTAAACACAGAAAAAGAAAACGGACCTCATTCCTCTGACTCCAAAAGAGCCTCCAATTTCGCAACTCTCAGGTCTAACGGAAGCTGCCTGGATTTCAAAGAATTATAGTGACGATCTGCACCTACAATGCACGCACACTTGCATCCGAGTTCTCGATAGAAGACTTGCTCATGCAAGCAAAAAGAATAAGGTACGACGTCATCGGCCTGTCCGAGACGAGAAGACGCCAGCCTTTCAACGCCGTTTATGACACCGGAGAAGAACAGTTCCTCGGAACATGCGACGGTAGAGGAGTCGGCGGCGTCGGCGTTCTCGTCAACACGAGTTTCTGCATGAGCATCGATTCCTTCGAACAACTTACAACCCGAATCGGACGCTTACGATTAAAAAGATGTGGATCAATACCGGCTTTGACAATCTTCGTCGCTTACGCGCCGACATCAAACTATGACGAAGAGGAAGTCGAAGCGTTCTATATGCACTTGGAGATTCTACAGAGAAGACCGTATATTCTTCAAGGTCATCATTGGAGATTTCAACGCCACGATTGGACCAAGAAGAACATCTGAAGAACGTCATATTGGGACCCATGGATAAGAATGGAACGAACAAGATGCATGGCTATTTGAGTTTATCATGGCGACCAAGACGATCCATGGTAACTCGCAATTCCAGAAGCCCCACTCTCAACGCTGGACATAGGAGTCTTCCAATGGAGAGTACCATAACGAAATAGACCACATCGTAGTAAATAGAAGGTTTAAGATTCTATTTCTCGCGGAAAGGAGAAAAAGAAGCTAAATTCAAAAACGGAAGCCCCCAGAACCACCGTAATCTGGGCCTTATTCAATTCATTAGTCGGCTGTTGGGAAGATGACGTTGTCGATAACATCGACGAAGAATACGATCGGCTCATTCAACATGTTCATGTTAGCGCTATGAAAGCTGAGAGTTCGAAAGTCACCGAGAGACGTCTGTCTCCAGAAACAACACTCGAGCTGATACGGCCAGCGTGGAATCGCACGAGCTGCAGGCAACCGCGGACTAACGCCCGAACTTGCAAAACAATGCAGACAGGCGATAAAAGAAGATCTGGGAAAGGCATTCGCAAAGCCCACCCAGCGTCCAGAAAGGCAATGGAGAAAATCATTCACGAATGCTACTCAGATCTCTTCGATAGCCACGTCCACCTTCCGTCATATGAAGTAAAGAAGGATGGGGAGGATGGATATGTTGTACCACCGGTTTTCCCTTCCGAAATCCGACATGCCATTTCGTTGGTGAAGAATCGAGCAGCACCAGGTCCGTACAGGATAAGATCAGAACACTTGGGGAACCTTTCGCCAGTCCTCGTAAACACACTGGCTCGGCTCTTCACACGTTACCTGTCTTAATGCAAGGTCCTTACTAAGTGGAAGACCAGCAAGACCGTGTTATTGTTCAAGAAGGGTGTCCTGCACGATATCGGCAACTATCGCCCAATCTGCTTACTGTCTATCGTCTACAAACTTTTCACTGGAATAATCCTAAAGAGGATTGACAGAACACTGCGTCCAGTCCACGAAGGACATCCACGTAAGCGAGCAGGGTTTCGAAAGCTTCGAAAAGGATTTAGTAAGATGGACCACATCCACACGATAACAAGGCTCGTTTAAATATCGCGAGAGTACAAAAGACCGCTTTGTCCCATTTTCATCGATTTACAAAAGGCCTTTGATTCGACTGAGATAGAAGCAGTCATGGAAGCCTTTGGTAGTCAGGGAGTTCCTACTCAGTACATAAAGATTCTTCGTGAGCTGTACAAAAATTTCACAACCAATATATCACCATTCTACAACGATATTAACGTTGACGTCAAAAGAGGAGTTAGGCAAGGCGATACAATCTCGCCAAAATTATTTACCGCCACCTTCCAGAACGTCATGCGAACATTGGAATGGGATAACATGGGAGTGAAAATCGATGGTCGGCAGTTACGTCATCTTCGCTTTGCTAATGACATCGTCCTTATAACACGAAACATTAGTCAAGCAGAACGTATGCTTGCTGACTTTGATAAAGCCTGTGGAAAGATTGGTCTTCGACTAAATCTCACAAAAAACGATGTTCATGAAGAACGGATTGGTTTGGTATGCCCCATTCACGCTCAACGGAGCGAATATCTTAGAGTGCTCCAGTTATGTCTATCTAGATCGGGTAATCAACATGTTGAACAACTTAGCTCCAGAACTGAGCAAAAGGAAACGAGCGGCTTGGGGAGCTTCCAAGAGCATTGAGGATGTAGTGAAGAGAACAAGGAACACCCGACTCCGTGCCCACCTTTTCGACTCAACGGTACTTCCTGCCCTAACGTATGCGTCAGAAACCTGGTCGCTGCGTAAGCAGGATGAAAGATCATTCAGCGTTATCGAACGCGCAATCGAAAGGACGATGCTAGAAGTTTCCCGTTTCACATAAGTAAGGATGGTATCCGAAGCTCCGACCTGCGTCAACGATCAGAAATCAAAGATGCCGTTCTGTACGCCAAACAGTCGAAGATAAGGTGGGCCGGACACGTAATGCGCATGAATGACAACCGATGGACAAGAGCCGTTAGTGAGTGGATTCCTCGAGATGTTAAATGCACTTCAGGAAGACCACCGGCTAGATGGTTAGAGTTCTTCACGAAAAATCTAGAAGAAATATATGGTGCTCAAGGAGTTGCTAGAGCGAGCAGAACCCACTGGGTTACTCTTGCATGTTACAAGGAAAAATGGAGGATTTACTGGCGCCCGCTCCAGTCACCCGACGATCAACGGGACTACAGGTGATAGGCAATACGTTTTTAGCACAACTTGGGCAGAGCAAGAGGTTAATATCGAACCCTGCTGTAGTGCACTCTTGTTCAGAACTGTTTCAGACGATTAAGCATGACTCGAAAGGAGCTTTCAGCAGCACCTCGTGTCCTTTTGTGACCGTCGTTACTGCACTAGTCATAACTAGATAACCCACCATCGAGAACAAAGTTGATACAATGGCTTGTTTTCCTCCATTTGGTGAATGACTCCATTTCGTTCCCACTTTTGATTAAAGTGAATATTCGATCAAAAAAAGCAATGATCTTATAGGATATAAAAGGATGAGTGATGCATCCCTCCAAGACATCATTTTCCAATGACAAATATGTAATCGACTTCTGCATCAGCTGTACTACTCGGAGTTTTTCAGATCCTAGAATACTTGACACCGCTTCTATTTTTGGAATAGCTTTAAAGAAGTTACGGTGATAGCCAGCACTAGTTCAGCAGATAGAGCTGTAACCCACAGGTACAGCTTTCGTTACCTGCTCCAAAAAATTTGGAATTTTATGTATGCAACATCCCACGGCATCCACAACTTCAACATAAGCATTGAGAAGCCGTAATATTCTAGACAAGAATAGATTAAAACACTCCAAATTTGAACTAGCATAGGACTCTGTCTTTAAGGTGATGTACATTCGACAATGCAATTGCAGTTCTCTGTACTAAAACCGTCTAAAAAGTGAAGAGCCACATTTTTGGTTTCCAAACTATAGAGAATAAAAGGACTGAACAGTGGAGTGTGGCATTGGCTATCTCCAATGTTTAGCACAACCATTTAAAATACCATATTCGGAGAAATAATGTACTGTTCTGGAAGTGTGGAGGAGGGAAAGTATCGGAGTGGTTAGTGATACAGTCGCTCAGGGAAACAAAGTGGTGGTTCAACTGCCTCGCCCATCTCACAGATTGCAAGAATTCACTCGACCAGCATCCTACGATCTTTATAAAGAAGACGAAATGCTCAAGCAACAGCCTGAACAATACCGAAATATTCGAAGACCTCTGAAGCTGATGAATGCGTGGAGAACAGATCGACTGCAAGAACTTCTGGGGTCCGCACAATAGACGTGATAACGCGTCATGTAGTAATAAATGAAATGCGCTGATAACACAGAAACTGCAGAATTCCAATATGATGTTATCTGACAGCAAACACATTATTAAAAATTTTATTCGTGGCAGCAACACAGTATTCTTGTAAAACGATGGGTACGGTTGGGTTATTGTGAATTGGTTTTGGAGACGGATCCCGGACCGGCTAACCCTTTTGCAACTAAGGCGGTTTAGAGCATGACAATTCAGTGTAGTAAACCTGAATATAAAGACTCCATGATCGGAAATGATGTCATTCGTATAGGACCATTCAGGCTGAATACATCAACTAGAAACCGCCAACTGTGGCTGGCTGACAAAAAAGCTAAAAGGATACAAATATAGCAAACTAGCAGATGAAATGGGTAAAAGTAAGCAGCTACGTAAATGTTAAACAACATGTATTAAAACAGCACAAGAAATTGGGAGAAGTGTGTATTCACGAAGAACTCACGCCTTGCATCACCTATGCTGTCAACGTTTACAAGATTACAACTTCAAAACATGTATGGATGGAAAAGCCGATAACAAGATGGCAAAGCATCAATGAGAAACCTTAGTAGTACTTAGAATTATCTAGACTGATGGTTTCATGTGTACATATAGTAAAAGTAGTGCAGATGCAGAGAAAAGCGCTGATTGAAAGGGAACGCGGTTCATATCAGGAATTAAGAGACGCACCCTCAGATGTTGAGCGCAACCAACAGCATTGCTGGTTAAAGACCCGGCTTAGAATTGCGGGATACGGTAATAATCAGAATGGTTTTTGTTTAGTTCACAATCGGGACTGTGCGCACGAATGAATAAATATCCCCAAAAGATATATCAACAGACGCTACGTCCAACGTAATTGCAAGAACGCCCACCACGGAACCGCTGTCACAAACTGAACAGCAAAAACAAAATGAAACCTAGAAACCAATAATGGACGAAGCGTCGAAGATATCGCTTATGGGCAAGCGGCATATCAAAGAATCCGGAAGAAAAATCATTAATATCACAGATATATAAGACTCTGACATGCCGCCATGTTAAACATCTTAAATACATGCGGTGAAAGCACTGCCCCACGCATTTCCAGCACAAGGGAATACCTTGGAAAACGAAAATGGGTAAAATAGAAAACGTGGAGTGAAATGCTTTCGAGCCGTTTGTAATACCGCGTATAGGGAGACGAGTACTCTCTTCACCCAGAGAGCGAAACAAGCTAAGTTGTTTTAGCAACAAATCTGTCGGTCATTCAGCACCATTAACGTGTGGCGGTGACGTCTTACGAGAAGAGTCTAAAACGGCTAAATTTATGACCTCTAAATTGTACAACTGCAAGTAATATAAACTAACTGATAACTGAAATTACATCTTGAATATATATCAAATTATACAACTATAATGAATGTGTAAAACTACCGAACAACATCCCTAAACGACTGCTTGTCAGCCCAGAAGTTAATTTTATTTCTGCCTTTGCTGGCTTACATGCGCTCATTTTAATAAAGCTTTATGCCTCTGTATTAATGTCACACAACATTTGAAACTTTCATTTTTATGCAATTTCTTCCGTTTTTATGTCAATCTACTTCAGACTGACATTACTTGGACAAAAACAAAGCAGGAACCAAATCGAAAACTCCTACACGAACCCAATGTTGAAAGTAGAACCGGAAAAACTGTTGTATTTGGCCAGTGTGCAATTGATGACAGAAGATGCAACGCTGTTTTCAAAAATTAGGAAGGAGCCCATAGACTTGAAGGTGGGGACAGTCACGAACCTCCATCAATAATGGAACCATTCGCACTTTTTCCACTGCCTTTTTGAAATTTATCTATATATAACAATTTAGGAGGTTGCGGAAGAACGCAAATAATTGCTTCGAAGGGAAATCAGAAAAACCACGCATCAAAGAAACTGAAAAGTCACGATATAAGCTACCAATTCTAACCGTATAAACTATACAAATCAAAGTTCGGCGCTGAAAAGAATGATTTCCTTTTTTGGAATAACAACAACCCTTTTTAAGTGTCCTACGATCAGTCCAAAGATAAATTTCCGAAGACAACCGACGACAATGTGCTTCACGATTAAACACAGATAAACAGCCCTAACAATTCCCACACTAAATTTCCACTACAACAGGGTTATAACAAATTTCTCGTGTTTGGCACATAAGGCCAGAAGTTAACGATGGGCCAGAGCACATGTCAAATGACCAGCTTTGTAAAACGGAAGGAAAAGTGGATATGAAAAATTTCGAAAACCTACTACATTCATTAATCCTTTCACTAACTATTACTTTCCCACCGTCTTGAAAACTACTTACAACAAAAAGTTAACAACTGAGTCGATGTTGATAACGATTTCAGAAAAAAAACGTCGGCTTAAGCGATAGAATAAAAGCTTCTGCGCTTAATGAAAATACGTGAAACGCGACTGTTTTATTACATCAATTAATAAACTTTAACCGGAGCTGAGTTACGCACAACCGAAAACGAAAGTTAGAATCCGACACCACCTCCTGCACGAGTCAATATTAATTACTAAATTTTTAAGAAACAAAATTCACTTAATTGATAACTTCAGCACAAACCTTGAGGCTCTTCTTTGCGCCTGTCACCATGCAGATTGGTGGCGCGCTGGAAATCAGAGATGAGTTGTCCTATACGAACTTGTACGCTTTGTGTGGCCAAGAAATTTCCCACGATTCGCACCACTGTACCACTGTCATTTGGAGAGGGAGAAGTTGAACCTGAAACAGGCACCAGTTCAACGCAGAAATTGACTGTAAAATGCGGATATTATGAAAACTCTAAAACAACATACTAACCTTCTTTTGGTACTTCTGAGAAGGTTAGATCAGCTACTTTCGGCTCATCTTCGGGGATTTTAACCTAAACTAGCACCAAGTCCACTAAAACTATTTAACACCAACTAATCTGAAGATTCAATCGAAATTTCTTCAGAATGTCTGAAATGAAAAACAGTGAAAAACATACTGAAGCTCCTGTAATGCGCTGCAATTCTCTGACATTCTGCCCGCCTTTTCCAATGATTCTCCCTACAAGCCGAGAGGGAACCGTCAACTCTGTTCGCAGTTTTACCTAGAATAATATTTTGCATAAAAACATCAAATACAAGTCAATTTTACAATCTTTCATTCGAAATAAAGTAGGAACACTTGGGACAAGCAAACACTGATGACCTTATATAAACTATGTCAGCTAAAATTTCAAAGAAGTGTTCCTGAGCGCCGAATTGCAATGCCCAACGAAGAGTTCTCGATAGAGCCCCTCTAATTGAGGAGTTCGATACATCATACCGAAAGCGCAGCCACGAGTAAAATTATGCTTATACCAAGTTCGACCTACTTTACTTTCTTAGTAAAGAACGAAAATAAAGAGCTCCACGAATTCTTTGCGCCCATTGAGGTAGTAAGTCTCATTAAGCAGCCCTGGGGTAGCATGGGTATCGACGGACCATTGCTTAGCGCGCAGATTTTTTGTTCATCCTGACGGCAAATATAAATATGGGCGGCACATTTGTATATCTCCTCAAAATTACTCAATTCGCTCATGAAATAAAAAAGACGTCTCTATTAAATAAAAAAGGTCGTACTGCCAACACTAGTGGACGGATGGACGCATTGAACAACAAGCTTTTAAACTGCGGGATATGTAAAATTAAGCAAAACCCTTCAAAAAGGAACAACTGGACAATAAAGCATGAAGCACAAAGCTCTTGGCGTTGATTGATGATCCCTGAGGCATGTGCAATGAATTCGACCTCATTAAGAATTGCTGGAGATGACTGAATGCATATCTGGTCCTTACAATGATTCAGGTGACCTACCGATGTATTGAGCCAGTTCTGCTATCCTCCCAAACAAATCTGGTAGCAATTTGGTGACCTCGGAGGGAGGGAGGGTTTGAAGTTGCGGCGTGGGGATTGATCCCATGTGTATCACGGGGTGTCTCCGAGCATTGCACCATACGCGCTCCCCATTGGACAACAGAACAAAAAAAAAACGAAAAATTGCAGAGCATCTTCTTCATGTTGCCATTTGACCTTCAAAATGAAGGAAGAAAAGAAGGGAAAAGTAAGATGTCTTTATATCCATAACCTCACAGTGATTAAATAGTTAGCATGAATGAACTAAAAAACAAACTACCTCATCGATAAGGTGCTGTGATTGCTCAGCAACACGATTGAATATCAAAAATTGCGCCCGATATTGCTGCGCATCATTGCCAGTAATTGTAACTAAACGCTCTCCGTCCTAAAAATGAAAAGTTTACATTTCTATTGTGAACATTAAACAGAAAGAGCTCTAAAATCCCACATCACTCCGCCGCTCTTCAAGAACTTCAGAATGCGCTTTTTCTTCTTCACAATGAGATTCTGTATCTTTTGCAGGTTCTTCCTTCTTTTCTGCTTCCTCCTTTCGCTCAGCATCTTTGCGTTCGCCACCTCCTTCTATTCGCACATTAGCACCAGAGGTCCGTATTATGTTACGAATATTGCTTCCCTACAAGCACTAACAATATGAACAAATTCAACAAACAAAATTCACCTCCACCTGCTAAAATGCCTCACCTTGCTACCAATAATGGCCCCAACCATTGAATTGGGAACCCACATTCGGGTCGTTTTTGGAATGTCGGCACGACCTCCAACACCGCACATTGGTCCACCGATTGGACGCATCGTTGAAGCCGCTAGAGCTGTGTATGCGTCTCCAATAGGATGAATCATGCCAGGCATGGTTGGAATACCAGTAAACGACATCTAGAGGAAGGATTTGTTGCAGAAATTAAATACCATTCTAGTTCTTTTTGCTGAGTTCATATACCGTGCACAACAACTAACTCTGTGCTGAAGATCAGTCTCGTAACTTTGCCGTAGTCTGGCGGAAATCCTTTGTTCCGCACCAGATACCTGAAAAATAACCTTTCTATTTAAAAGTTCTCTAAACAATTTGAAAGTAGAGATTAGAACTTACAACTTCAATGCTTGGTCCTTTAACAGTAATTGTGCGCTCCATTGAAAGTAGAGCGTCTGGGAAAGGCGGCATTAAACAACCCACAGAGGTTAATTCAACAGCTCGAGAAGTCTGTTCGCTAAACGAATAACAGATAGACTACTACATAAACTATAAGATGTTCAACAAACATATGTAACACATGAGATCCAGGATATTACGGAACTAATCTATTATTCCTACTCCTTTGAAGGATATCCCTAAGGCAATCGATCTGTTGTCAATTATTAGCGGAAATATTTGGTAAAGGTACCCCCACGTGATGGAGAAGACTTATACTTGGACTAAAAATGATCATACATCTGGCCTGAAATCGCAGACGTAATTGGGTACTGCCTCTAACGCGACGAATTAATTTATACACTCGCTATATACACAATCACATCTGAAAAGAATATACAAAAAACATGATAGGCAAAAAGAAAAAAATGTGCTGTTCTTTTCTTCCTTAAGCAAGCGGTGCTCATTCAGCAGTTGGCTAGAGATAGGGATGAATAGAATCTAAATTGCCTCTTTTCCCAAATCATTCCGGGATTAACGGAATTACGGGTTATATAAGTGGATATATTACTGGAAACAAATTTAGCAAAAACTAAGAAATTCCGTGGTAAACAATACACACTTCGAAACATAAATAGTTGTGCCAGTATCCTGCATGATCTTCTTAATAGTGGCGCCTTGTTTTCCAATGAGACGTCCAACTAGCTGATTGTGAGCTCTAATTTTTAGCTCAACCTCATTGTTGCTAAAATTAACCACACTACAGTTGCATATACTGAGCTATAAAAATTGTCTCGAAGACTCTTAAGACATCGAATAACGTACTCTTTAGTTTCGTCCTTCTCATTTTCACGTTGAACAACCTCCAAAATCTTCACGCACGCTTTTGAACAATTTTCCAAATGACCGAGGATTGATATTATCTATAATTGTTGTAATAAATGCAGTACGATGCTCAAAAAACAAGTGACACAAAATAAATGAAGCCAACTGAATTACTTTTTCGCTATGCCCTTGCTGATCTTTGACAGTGCGGTGCACATCAACAACAACACGAGCTTTGGACTCCTTTGTGATTTCTCGCACATTATTCCCACCTGTTCCGATAATCGCTCCAACATGTTTTGAGTCGATTACAATACGAAGAGGCAATTCCTTAAATTGAAGCTACATCGGAAGAACTATAATTCTTTAAAAACTAAGGTCAAGAAGTAAAAGATGAAACTAACTTGTTGAGGTGACAGACGCATATGTGACGCATTTTGAATTGGTGTTGCTGAGTCCACAGGTGGAGGTCCACTGCGCTGCGAAACTCCACGTCGGGGTTGCACCGCTTGTCCCATCACAGCACCTTGCTGATGTTGACTGTGATTATGCGAACCGGATATTCCCGATTGTTGAGTGGCACCTTAAACTGGCACCAATCAACGTAAGCCACTATCACAACAACCCCGCACATGCCATGGAGTTTGAAAAACGGATTCCATTACTTCTCCATAGCTCACAATAAGCAGAAACTTAAACTCTAAGACCATTCATCATTCTAAAAAGATATAACAGTTGCTCAGTAAATACTGCTGGCTATGTCACCGCTACTGCTACCACCGGCAAAAAATTAAGCTACCGGTTGCCCAATGATACTGGGCTTGAATTGAAGCGTGAATGTAAGCAGTTATGGCGTTGTAAACAGTGAGGAATGTTCGAGAATCCAATTTTAATTTCCCACAACAATGTCGTAGCCTAACATTAATAAAGCACTGATGATCACGAAAATAGTCCGAATTTTTCACCGGTTTGTAACAAAATTTGATATTAATAAGTTAGTAACCAATTGAAAACACTGGAAGCAAAATAGCGGTAAAGCAACAACTTAAGAAACACTTTTAACGAAAACAAACAAACATTATCCGTCTCTATGGTTACTAAAACGTTTTGAAAAAAAATATTTAGCGTGCAAGTTTTCAAACGATGAGGTCCATGACATTGATCAGGTTCACGTAGACCCTCTAACACATTTTGTTCGCATATACCAGTTCGCTGATGAAAGAACAGTTCGCAAATTTTTCGTTATATCCAATAGATAAGCCACTATTGTTAGCCTACTAGGGTTCCACAAAAAGGCACAAATTTTCGTACAAAACAGGCTTGGATCAAATATTCATCGCACAGCGAACACGTGAGAGCTAGTAGGGTCCACTTTGCAAACACAACTGCATCGAATATCTAATTGGGAATATCCATAACTATTTCAAACGTTCGAAGGTTTTATTACTCCACCTCCCCAACTCCCTCTTCCCTCCACTCCCTGGCTGTTTCTGCCGTTATAAAATTTGCAACATATAATTCACATTATAGCCATTTAACAATTGAGGTTTGTCTAATGCCTAAATACCCGCCTCATGATTTCTTTTCTGGTAATAAATTTACAATGGCAGTTTTATGCTAACTGAAATGATGCTCCCAAAATAACGAATCCATAACGCTTTACTACAACAGTTCAAACTTGAATGTGCTCCTGTAAAAGCAGCCGATATCAAAGAATGAGACCGGGGAACTACTTATAAACGCCTAGTGCACAAAGCTTTCGAAATTTTTAACCTAAAATATGTGTCGTGAAGAAGAAAAGAAAGAGTATTGGGAACCATCAACAATCGACGATGATCGTCTGAAGAAGGAATTCGAAACCGACCCTCTAAAAACTATTCGAGAGATTTAGAAGTCAATATTAACCCAGCAATAAACAATCGCTCGTTATTTGGAAGATAGAAAGCTTCTTCACAAGATAAAGATAAAGACAAGACACTTCATAAATCTTCACAAGAAGAAATTAAAGTCGGATTAACCAAAAGAAGAACAAAGGATAATTGTTATGAAGTCCTTCCTACGCCTCGTTTACGCAACCGAAACCGACCTATTTCCCTAATCCTTTCTGATGTACAGTTTAAAACAAAATTGATTCTAAGCGAGAGCCGCCAAACTCTAGCGCAATGATTGTGGAGAAAATGTAGCTCCTAAACAATCCCACATCCTAGGTTGCAACAAAAGAAGGCGGCGGAACTAAACCATCAGAATTTTCTGGACGCGATAGGAACAATCATAGGAATTATTGGGAATAACAATCATAGGGAACCACTGCCATATAACTGATGAAACCAACCAATAAAAAGATCGTATGTATCCAGCTTTAGTCAACAAAAAGATCAACACTATTGCAAAATATTCTTAACCAAATGTTGGACAAGCAACTCTGAGGACTTGTCCAAATTCTGTTACGAAACTCTGCTTAACCCACCATGTCAAACAGAGATTGCTCAATCAACTACGATTTTCTTCTTCGTACTACCTCCCTCAAAAAAAAAACTTCAACGGTGAAGCCACTACTAGGAATGGTCTAATCATATTCATTCGTTGCTTCCATGTCTACAGAATTCTTTAAGCGATGCATAGATTCCAGCATTTCTAGCATTGATTAATGAGGTTTAGTTGGAGTCGAGATATATGGTTTCAAAGTTGTCCAAAATCAATTTTTCGTTTCGTAAAATCCCAACTTCCTGATAGCTGGCTGCAAATTTTTTCTCAAACACCGTTTTCTTCCATTAAAAAGTACAAGAACAATTCCGAAATTTCAGTTACACCTCTATAGATCACTTCAAAATGGCTCCATCTGTCATCCTGTCCGCATGGTAAACTGATATAATCCGCGAAAAGAATTAGATAATCACTAAATAACATGTTAATATCTAACTACTTAGAAACGCAACTTTTTAACACTCTTGCGACAACGCCTAATCTCGGGTTTGGTGCTGATTGGATGGCGCCCATCTTTCAGCCGTCTTTATGGACTTGCTAGTTTTCGAAAAAATAGCTTCGTGGGCTATGATTATGAATGGATTGCAGAAAAAAATTTGCTTTATCATTATATGAGTATAAATGATATTTATGGTGGTATTTACTCCACGTTATTATGGTCCACCATTTAAAAAACATTAATAGAAAACTAGCTGACAGAAAGGCGAAACGAAGGACACGCATGGTGTGGTGGTGAATGCGTTAGCTCCCGGAAAGGTCAATGGTGCGTTCGTTCCTCACCTTAGACACCTGCGATCCGGAGTTCTGCAAATGTCTCAGCACCACTGTTGTTGTACCACACATAATACCTTGTCGTGAAATTGTAATAGGCAATAAATAAAAAGTTAACAAAGTGATTTCGACAACAAGCTCAGCTTAACTGGGTTCACTAAACATTTGAGTTTTCTGACGAACTCCGTTGATGAGTGATTGCTCTTGGCACCGGTAGAATAGGTCTCTGTTTCAGTACTTTTTGTGACTGCGCACTCTTTACGATGACATCTATTCACTACGGTAATTACAATTAAAATAGTAGTCGATTAGCAACGAAATTTCTGGCTAGTGAATTCGTTCGGAAAACGAATTTCTATATATTTCTAAATGCAGAATAGACCTCTTCCCGACTAACAACCTACACAACATCTGTGTTCTACAAGCTACTGACGGATAAAAAAGTGTAAGAAAATAGCTTCATGTGCTGCCAAAATAAACCATCAGAAAGAAAATGAGACCTAAGGTTTCTTACCGGTCACTCCCGTAAAACCACTGTGACACCTTCACGAGTAACTCGTCGTGACAGTGATAAATTCAATTCTGAATGGCGTGTGGGATTGGGTAGCACTGGTAAGATGCATAACTCCCAACTAGGTTGCTTGCGTTAACCTCTTTACTTTGCACCAGTTCAATAGATACGAATGAATAAGTGTAACTTAAAATTGAAAATCACGCACCCAGGCTGTGGCTATAGTCCATATTTGCTGTTCCTGAAGCTGCTTGTATTGGAAATTGATAACTTGGCGGTTGCTGAGGTTGGTGGCCGATTGGCTGCTGTTGATAATACATTTGTGATGAAGTAGCTCCTGCCTAGATTTACACAAGATTTGAAGTTGGTCGGTCACATTTTTATTATATGCTTTAAAAAGCCTGCCTAGGGAAGCCAAAATGACAACGGTCTCAAAGACGAAAACTATTGAATAATTTGAAAATTGAAGACATTGGCACAAATCCAAATACGAAACTTGGGTAGACAAGAACGAGGATACGAAGACACGAATTAGTATCAAGAAAAAAAAAAATGAAAATCTGAGCAAGCAACAGACGGCGGTGATACTGAGATATGGATAGAATTTCCTTGCAAATTCTTTAATACCCTAGAAAGCTTTGTACACATGCGTTTCCTGTAGGAAACAATGAACCTATGATCAGAGGGAACAATAAACCTATCAATACAGAAAACCACGAGTTACCATACAAACGAGAAAGAAAGACAATGGTAAAAACGTGGAAAATAGGAGAAAACCCACCTGTGCAGAATACTGGACGTACTGATGAGTGGGCTGGCCAGCGGAAGCTGGTGGTCGGGCCTGTTGGTAGTAATCCATAGGTAAAACGAACAGAAATTCCGTCAGCAGACCAAAACCACTTGATGCCTAAGAATCGTGGTCCGCCTAGAACAGAAAGTGGACCACACATCTATGCTTTTGAAGAAAATATGAGAAATAGAACAAAACTGCATACGTTCTAACGATACATTACTATTCGCAACAGTCCCACGCAGGTAAAAAGAAAAGATATTAAATGAAGACTGACGGTATCTATGAGTTCGCCACTAATGAGTTCTTATCATGGCGATAGGAACCGATTGGTGAAAAGGTATACAAATACAAGGAAATAGGCATACATACAAAGGCGGTGGACGTGTACGCTCGCCACGCAGCCACGACATAAACAGCAAAACAATCAATACTTCCTTAGAGTCCAAGTAGACGAACAGGAGACAAAGTCTCCACAAAGAGTAATTCGGAAAAAGTGCAGCTTCAAGAGCGAGACGAGACCGACAATCAGACCAGCACGCACAATAAGGAATGCTAATAGAGTAGGCTTTGAATAACCAGCTAAAAGACCGCTGGAAACCCATTGAACGCTCAATGAGACGCAAAATCTCACTGCTACTTCACAACGCCCACACCCCTCAAGGACAGCACAGAGCAGCAATCGCAGATGCCCACAACGGCCAGAACCACACGCCCTGGGTGTCCAGTAGTGGGGAAGGACCTGGCGCGATCGATAACTGGCAGCGACCCAGGGCGAGGAACGACCACGCCCACATCACAGCGAGGGTAACGCCAGGCGGTGGTGGTGTCAGAACGATGACATGCGTGCGGGAGATTTACGACCACACCCAGGGAGAGTCGTCTGACTGACCACCGCCAGCCCACAAGTACTAGCCAGGCAGTAGTGTCGTCAGTACTGTCGGACGCAAGCGAAACTACAAGGAATTATTGGAAGGGAACAAGTTCACAGTATCAAACAAAATAAAGATAAAGATCTAACGTAAAAATGTAAAGAGTAGCAACATCTAGGCATTAGCTCTTTAAGCTTAGCAAATTTGAAAACGTTTCGAGTACACTGTAAGGAGCGATTTGTGAAACGTGGATGCATAGGCTAAGAACAGATGGAGGTCCGTTTTTATTCATTGAACCCATTAGACCAACGAAAGTCTAACTTTCTTCTTGAAGTTGAAAAATAGCTTATGGGCTGTAAGACTTGACGAAGCAGTAGTAACGAAACTGTGACGACGTCTGCAAAATCAGGACGATGTAAACTTTTGAAGGCATGAGAGATCACGAATGAGTTCGACCATATTGAAAACGTAACTAGAAGTCCGTTAACATCCCAGAAGAAACGTGATGGGAAGCGAAAAGGAGAACCCTTTCACAAACAGCCAACCACCAGTGGGAATTAGTCTGCTCAAGTGCGGGGTAGCGTGCATGGTAAGCAGTGATGCAATCCGGCTGGTTCGATCCCTCTCAAGGATCGCTGCCAATCCACGTGGGAACGTCCTAGCTTGGCTATCTCGAAGATTGAAAACAGAAGTAGCTCGACCAGCACTCTACAACATTCACAAAGATGACAAGAACCCCTCATGCATCAACTGAAACAACAAGCGAAATGTTCGAAGACTTTTGTGAAGGATGAACACCAGGAAAACGAATGGAATGTTAGTGCTGGGATCCGTACAGCCGGTGGAACGACGGTTCGTGTAAAATCGTTCAACTGCTTTCAATTTTCATTGAAATATGTCCATTAAATCCAGTAAACCACGAGAAACGTTTGAAAAAAGCCGTACCAAATGTAATGAAACTCTTCTAAGTGCTGCAGATATTGTTGTCTTTCAGCAAACACTTTTTTTTACCGCACAGCAAGAAAAGAAAAGAGGCTGATGGGCTTCTCACAAGATTCTACAACTCAGAAACGACTTCAATGAACCACGATATACACAACACACTTACTAATCTATCTATTATTTTCAAAATTCTCAAAGCCTAAGAAGGCAAATTTCAATCTCATCAGCTCTCGTAGATATCCGGGGTAACTTATCAAGAAGCGCGTGTAGCGAAATGGTTGGAGGCGCCCTGCAATATTCATAGGTGGTTTAGCTATCGTGCTTCCCTGAAGTGGTAACGTCATCCAGGCCAAAGTCTGCCCCAGGTCGTCACTACCACAGGCAGTCGACGCTTTGGTAGATCATACCAGAGGTAGATTTGCCAACATGCGACTAGTTTGGTACCAGGAAGGTGAAGCTCCTTACATTGGTTTGCTTTTAGCTGGGCCTCCTGATGGAAACGCCGGACTCCTTCTCAGCTTCGGAGACCCTGCCAGGGTAATGAATCCTCAGCTGTACATCGCAGTTCGACGTGCAGGAACATGTCTCATCCACGATGAGGCGGTAAGCCGCTGGGTTGACAATGTGGAAAACCATAATGAAATAAACCGCGACACAGCAAATCGAAGCTTTTTGTCCCGAAGTTCTATAAAACATCAGATCGTCTCTCCTTCTATGCAAAAAAGTTCATCTCTCGCAGAAAAGGAAGAAAAGCCGTGAGATTCAAAGAACAAAATCACGATATGACAAAAAAAAGTGGATTTGTTTACCCTTTGTTGCATTTTTGAGAGGAAATCAATATCGACAAACAACATCGACGCTAAAAGAAACCCCAAGTCTTAATGTAACATGAACATCCCTATCTGCAGAGGTTGTAGATGGCATGAACAACGCCTTTCTCGCCAGTAACCCGATGAAGATCATCATCCCTAAATGTTAAGACGAATAAGTACTGAATTTAGAGTAACGAGGAAGCTCAACGTCGTCTACAACATGTAACCGCTTGTCTCACTAGTTTACACATTAGTTATCCGAAAGGTAAACGAACAAGATAGCGTTATTTTAGAAAGAAAGACCTCCCACTGACCCACACGATGAATGCCCTCTATGATTTCACGTGAAAATCACCCTCAGCAATATTTAAAAAGCATTAGACGAACGAGGAAGACAGTTACAACCTCAAAAGGATCGTATCAATATCTATTACATCGACTACAGAAGACTTTTGATCAGCAAAGAGAATCCAGTGTCTGATTAGTAGGCAAAGTAGTAATCTGTTAATGCTGTCGAAGTAATCAATTGCGCTTGTCCACGATATAAGGAAGCCAGAGTTTCAACCGACGTTGACGCTCGACGGAACGCTGCCACCTACGTGGACTACGAAGTCGGAAATTATGTGTATGAAAACAACTAAGAGATGTTTGGGGCACAGCAGAAAGAACACAAATCCAATGCCAGACTCGTGAATGCGTAAACAAGAACCTGCTACACTGTGTGTTCCTTCTGCAATCACAGCCCACTGAGAAACGCGGTCAAAGGATAACAATAAGTCAAGGGTTGGAAGAGTCGATGCTCATCATGAATCCCACTATCAGCAGCATAAGAACAACTTGTAAGATTGATTCTTCCCACTGTCGAAAAAGGGCACGAATATTTTCCAGACATTTTTCTATAATTAATATGCTTTGTGCTTCTACAGCTAAACGTCGCGCTATGAACAGTACAGTTGAAACCAAGGCAATTCTACCAGTCAGTAGCAACCAGATGGGCCCCATGGAACTGAGAGTCAACTCAGATATCAGCAGTTAACAGGAGAAATGAAGATAGCACATGAAAGCGATCAACAATAGAAAAGGCACCCCAACTCTACAGATACATATCTATACATATATATGTACATGAGTATATGTACATATATACATGTATATATGTACACAGCCAAATATATGCGTGAAATCCACGCAATATGATAGTATGATGGCAATGCTCTAGCACTAAGGCGATCACCTGTTTAAAGGTTCGCGTCTTGAATGGAAGGAGCGCACTGAGACCAGCCGTCTCGTCAAGGATCAGTCCCTTTAGCAACCATTGCCAACGGTGCCGTTTTCTGTTCGCAATCTCGTTCGTTCGGATAGAGCAGTTATAGGACGTATCAAGTAGAAACTGTACTGCTGTTGTAGCTGCTAGTCGTGTTTGTTTTCCTGAGTTGTGAGACGAGCACTTCGAGTGCTGGTGCTAGTCGGTTCCGTCCGGATCGCAGAATTGTCCATGATCTCGCCAGAAATTCTCGTCTCGGAACGAACAATAGGAGTGGGGACGGTGAGCACAGAAGGCGTGCGATCGCCGTTCGACCGGATGGGAGCGGGCGCGGCCACGCGAGCGTTCATCTGCCGGACTGACCTTCGTCATCGATTGATCTGCTGCTGGATCCTCCTTGTGATATTTGGCTCCGCAACACAGGCCGGCCAGGGTGCAACTTCTGCGCGAGCTGACGACTACATGGTCCCACTAAGGAATCGCGCTTGGAGTCGTATCTATCGGGCTCTTATAGCGCAATGGTTAGAAGTGCCCGGTAGTACACACATGGTCCTTGGATATATCCTTTGCTCAGGATCACCAAGCCTTTTATCCCTCCAAGGTCCACAGATTTGTTCTAGATTTTTCTGGGAGGATAGCAGCACTGGGTGGATAGATCGGTTGGTCATCGCAAGTTATTGTAAAGGTCAGATATGCATTCAGTCACCTCTAAAGATGCTTGATGAAGTTGAATGCATGGCGCATCGTCCAGAGATTGATCACTGCCGAACGCTTTGTCCTTTATTCTTTTCCTTAGAATATCTGGAAAACTGCTTTAATCTCAGCAAAAGTCTTCAAAGGGATTGCACGTCTTCGTTGAGGTGTATGGGTGTTTTGAAAGGTTTCTTTTTTCGTTTGACGACAAGGCAAATGGCTATTCCTATAAATCCTGTCCGGCGGAAGACTTTTGAATCTCGGATTACGTACGTCTTCGCATTCGCGGAACAACAGCGTGGTCGTATTTTTCGTATCGTCTTCGGCAAAAGAGCTTAGATTTCAAGTTTTTCACTGTTGTTTTTGAACACGAAAAATTACTGCGAAGCCTGAAAAGCTGAACAAGATTGGTGGATGGGTGCGTGTTCACAATGCTGTTCATACATTACATACTTGTGGATACTTGGACGACCCGTCCTCACTGATTATGCTGGTCCCAGCATAATTTCCGTTTTTTCGGAGTTTTGCTGGTCTAGCCATTGTGGTTCCCTGGAGTCCAAGCGTTCAGAGCATCACTGTAGTTGTACCCACTTCGACTGCAATAGTGAGAAGGTATTTGGTGAATATTTCGTCTCTTCATTCCTTTTCCTCGCTGCGTTGGAGCTTAAATTGTTTTGTGGGGCGATGTGACAACACCGTGCGATCCCAAGCAGTTGAGGAGGATTCGAATAGTCTTATCACCAACAAGGAGTTATGACTGCTTTAAGCGGAGTAGATGCCGAGCGGTACGGGCTCCTGCTCTGCTTTGTTCATGCCTTTTCTCCACAATGTTTGCTCAGAAGTGCCATATTCTACCTTAGAAGTTGTCATGAATTTAGAACTCACTACAAGAATTACTAGTACTGTAGGTATGGACGTTTACTGGTTATACGTATCATAAGTAAGTTCGTAAGTACCATAGTTCGTAGATAAATTTGGAAATTCTGCGGAATCTAGCTAGATGTTTATGGTGTTCCTCAGTGCTAAATCCGTAGGTAGTCCATAGGTTGTGTTAACTCGTTCATGATATGGAAGCATTCACCATTCTGTAGGGAATCTTCAGGGAAAACGTGTTCTAGTTTGGCGTGGCAACTAGTAGCCAGTGTTTCCAACCATGACCACAATAATCTTCGCAGTTCTCACCACCAAGTTTACGCCTTCTTAATAGTTGTTATCCACAATTGTGGAGGTTGCTGTGGGCAATTCATTTGATTTTGGCTAGGGATTTGGCGGTTTCCACTTCTAATTCTAAAAGGACAATTTTAATAGCAAAATAAGTAACATATTTATCACGATGTGAGTCCGTTCATGACTCATGCGTGAGTTAATTTTGGAGCTCTTCCCAACCGCTCAGAATTACGTCTCATGACGTGCGTGTTAAAATTTCATTTGCCTAATAGAGTAACTGTCAAAGTAGACTCACGTAGAGTTCGAGAAGATACATTTGATTGGATATCAATAAGGCGTGTAGAGGAAAACCGTATCCAGTGCTTAGATTTGACGTGCATCTATTAGGCAGATACTCGACACCACAGCGTTGAGAGATCCAGAATGTCTCTGCAAAGGGCAATAGCGAGTTCGATCCCCATTACAGATACCTGCGGCCCGGAGTTTTGCAAATATCTCAGCATCATTTTAGTTACACTTCACATCATATACTGTCATGAAAGAGCACAGGCAGTAAATAAAAGCGACATTCTTAGTGGAGTTCAGGAACAATATATTTCGCGATGGCGATGATATGGCTGCGTTTTTGTCCGTACCTAGTGGCTTCTACCCACTAGCCATTTAAGCAGGTTGCTACACTGACCAGCCAAAGCATTTCTTTTGCCGGGTCGTTCTTCCACGAAGATGTGCTGTTATTGATATGGAATCGTCTGTATGTTTAGCGGGACAATTTGCAATACTCGATACTGGTCTTCGACGCTTCTTGGCCATAATTCTACAACTGCACACAGAAATTGGCGAAAATTCTGACAGCGTGCATTGTTTACGCGATTAACCAAATAAATTTGTTTCTGAGTGTCGAGCAGCGATATGCAGTGGGGTGATTTATCCCCCAGCATGGTCTGCCAAACTGAGAAGGAGTCCGGAGAGCTTCCATCAGGACGTCCAGCTAAGAGTAAGCCAATGCCAGGGTCCACCACCGTCCTGGTACCAAACTAGTGGCGTGTTGGCAAATCTCACTCTGATCCATAAGGGCGTCGACTTCCTGTGGTGGTGACTGCCTGAGACAGACTTTGGCCTGGCTGTCCTCAGGTTTCCATGGAACCACAGTGGATAAATCTCCAGAGAATGGAAATTGTGATGGAACTCGCACAACCGGTGAAGACGAGCTGTTCCAGCATCCAAGTAGGGTAAAACTCCGGGAAGTCGTCACAATAGCCCTAATGCGCAGATCCGCAAATGCGACCTCCCGCGTACTAAAATCATAGCTGTGGGCCTCACAGTGGGAATGAATTCCTACAAAGATGAGTTCCTCAAACATATTTGTATTCGGTCTTGCTTCACATAAGTTATTTCCTTACTTCGAAGCATAACACTGACATTTTTGCCAATAAATCGCAAAGCAATTTTTATGGTCCGTTTTTTTCTTCAGCATTAATTGCTCTTGGTGACACGTACTTTGGTTGTTTTCGCAGTGATCTGATGCATTTCTCTGCCGTTGTAGTGATGATATTGGTCTCAGGGCGGATGATCGTATTCGATAGTTCTCTGGAATCCAGGGTCAATTTCACACAAGGTTCTCAGCCGAACGAGGCTGAGCATGGTGTTTCGTACGCAGCGTATTTTCTGGTTGGGTCATTCTGCTCTGACGGAGAGATTCATGTAGCTCATATGGCTCCGTGTCCTCTGCCAGTGACTGCCACTGATTCGGTGAATATCTCACGAGAGTTGCTTTCTTTCTTCCCGAAGACGTCATTGCAAGGTAATCTCATAGCCATTTTTATTTTAGGCAGGTGATACGCTTAGTAAAACGTTAGATGAAGAATGGATTGCTGACAACGCTGAGAAAGTGACGAGGATCTTACCTGGCGGTATTAACGTCGTTGGTTAGTAATTCATTCCACTACGCCATAATTATGCATAGTTCCTTTTTTCTTGTGAAGCGCAGTGGTCGGAGGCGGCCTGCAATACGCATGGGATCGATTCCTGCACCCGAGACTCACCAAGCCCTACATCCCTTTGGTGGTCAGCAAATTGATTCTGAAACTATGGGAGGATAGCAGCATTGGCTCGATACATCGGTAGGCCAGCACTGGTCAGTGTAAAGTCCAGATATGCATTAAATCGCCTCCTACGATGTTTAATGAAGTCGAATGCATGACGCATCACCCAGGGATTGATCAACGCCTAGTGCTTCATCCTTTTATGTTTTTGAAGTTTTTTTTATGAAAGAGGGCAAGTAACTCAGTGGAAGTGACGAATTCATCGCAACCATGATTCTGTTTCGATCCCATCTTGCTCTCGCCAAGCCTCACAGAACCATATCACTCTCTGCGAATCCAAGTGGGAACCCCTTAGTCTGGCTAGCTTAGGACTCCAGGGAAAATCGACTTGCCTAGCATCCAACGAAATTCATGACGATAAGAAAATCCTCAAGCAGCAACTGAACTCACACACAGAAAGTTCGGAAATGTTCGTGAATGACGGATGAAGGGAAACGAATCGATTGCAAGAATATAAGAAGTGCTGGGATTACCACAGCAGATATGAAAAATGGGTTGTACGAAGAGAGTTCTGTTTATAACTTCAGGTCTGGCATTTTTTTCTGGACGAAGATTTTTTAACGACCAGAAGGCGATGCTTAAACGAGCGTTGGCTCGCATTCAACAGATCACAAATTTGCTAACAACGTTAGGCATTAGCTCATTGTCTGACAATATGGTATATTTCTTCATTTCTTATCAACATGCTTCATTTTCGTTCTGGCACTACCTTTCAGGCTCTAGTCTTCGTTGAGTCTCCATTAGGTAAGCCGATGGGCTTGGTCACGGATGTGGTAAATCGGGGTCCAGACTCGCCAACGAAAGTGTCCTTTTCTGTTGTGCGTAAATTACTTGATGTAATTTCGTATTTGATGATTTACAAGTTTCTTCATGTGAAGTCAGTTTTGAAATTTCAAAAGAAAGTCGAATTCTGTACTCCGTATTTGTCAGTTACTATGATTTCAGTTAGAATGGGTATCAGCTGTGTCGAGTGCTTCTGCTAGAATTTGTCTCAATGTACCGACGAAGATGAAACAACCACATTTCTTCACAGAGTTCATAGCAGCGATTCGGCCTTTCACCGAGAACCTTTTCAACTGCTCTTTGGTAAATTTTCAATTTATTTCAACGCAAATACGCTTTCTGGTTATTTATTAGAGGTGGTATCAATTGAAATTTCGTTAGACGTCGAATGGCTGAAATGAACTTCGGTAATGTTCCTATCGTTCCTGTTAAACGATAGAACCTACACTACGGGTTCCTTTTTTAGAGGGTGTTGCGCTTGTCGTAAAAGGCGTGCTATTTTTACTTTTTTTTCAGTCAGATTAAAGAACGTGATTACCGCCTCTTCGTGGCTGGAAGCTGTTCCTGGGTGTCGGGCTACAATGTACAGTGGGGAGATTCATCTCCTCGGCAGTGTCTCCCAAGCTTAAAAGCAGTCCCGCGTTTTCACCAGGAAGCCAAGCTAAGAGTAAACCAATACCGAGATGCACCACCGTCCTGGCATCAAACTAGAACCATGGTCGCAAATCTACCTTTGATTCACAAGTGCCGCGACTGCTTGTGGCGGTGACGATTTGGGACAGAGTTTGGCCAGGCTAGCCTCGAGACTCCAGGCGCCGCACAACCAGTGAAGACGGGCCATCAAGTCTTAATCGAGGACAGCAAAAAATAATGTTTCGTTGTAATTGTATTTCACATAGTACCCTGTTGTGAAAAATTGTAGTGGGAAGTAAATAAAAAGAACATTGTGATTTCTCTTGTTTGCTTTTTTGATAATTTCAGTTCTCTAAGAGACCAAATTTTTCAAATTCTTCACAAAGGGATATTTTATAGCGCATGTTTAGAGCAAAATCTCCTATATAAGCATGTGAAATTCCCATCTCCTCAACTATTTCAGTACTCCAGAAATTGCTGTCAGTTATCAAAAAACCAAATTGGGTGTTATGTTTTAGTCAGTCGTCCACCAATCCACGGCGATGTACTATATAGCGTCATGACTAAACTGCTTGAGATCCTTCACATAAGGGAGATATATGGCTTGAACTAATTTACCGATAGCATCCATCCTTAGTTGAAAATTTAGTTGCTAACTATTCTGCGAGTATCTTCCAGCATCGTTCTTCCATAATAATTCTGCTTTTTACCATGCAATAAATGGATTGTTTGCAGGCTTTGATCAATGGTGAGATACGAGATGAATCTGAACAATTGTTTCAAGATGTGAAAAAGAAAAAGGCAGACGCGGTAGAGGTGGAGTTGTTCGTCGATGCGTGTGGTCAGTTCAGCATTTCATATCTATCCTACTTAATTCGATTCTTCTATTTCCCATATCCTCTTCACATTGCAGAGAATAAAGGAAACACTTGTGAACCGCAAAGTGCGACAAACTTGCACGAAGTGTCTTTTGATATTGAGGTAACTTAGAATCCTGTACACCATTCAGTATTAGGGCTATGAGATTCTATGCGAACAACTTCCGGAACATGACCATCCGTCGTTGCAAAATGTATCGTCTTCTGTCTGCTTGCTGTAGCATAACGCCGCTTGGCATCACTCATCACTGAACCAGTACTCGATATTATGATCAGTAGGGAACGTTTCTCCAAATAAAATAAGTTGGAGGGTGCTGCGCAATGTGCAGTACGCTGAATTTCCGTCTAAAAAATATTTTTCATAGGGGAAATTGATATACATAGTTCTGTTGTCCTTTTTTACTCTATAGTAATAATGGAGCATTCAGATTCGTGCAGCAGTTCCATTGAAATCCAAGGTTAGTTTTGCAGTGGCTGCTGTTAAACAACATCTGATAAGAAGCCTAACAGCTCGAGCAGGTGGTTCTAAATGTCATCCTTGTTTCTATCAGCTAGAGAATTAGACTATATTTCTTGTCCTTAAGAACTGCAATACGAGTCAATGGATGTCGTGGAAGAAGCTGCAGCCGGGCCGTGCTCCGTGCATCAAATGCCACGTCCAGCTACGACTGTGCTAGATACCCATCCTGCTATACTGTTTTCGGACTATTTATTTGAAGCTGACACTGTTGAAGATGCGCAAAGTAATTTTGACGAGTTGCTCGGACTGAAAGCAAATAAGGGTAAGTTGTTTTACTTGGTTACGTACTATTTCATATTGTACAAATTGTTGTTTCGATGTTTCAGAACACATTGATGAAGGATGGGAACGATGCCTAGAAATAAATGAAATGGAGGTGGTGCGTGCCCCACTTGACGACACTCCAACAGTCAACCTTAAACCAAAGGATGGTGATATCGGCTCAATACTCTCACTCCTGATAGCCCTTTCTGTTATTATCGCAGTGGTAAGCATCGTAGTCTACTTCGTCATAGCGAGATAACACTTGAGGACCAAAGATACTTCTCAGTATTCAGGGGTCCACGTTCTGGAACTAACAGTACTATTTCGCATTTGTTCACTTGAAAAATTTATATGGCATTGTTTCTTCTATCTTCATCTTACCATTGGACTTTATTGAGCTTTTAACAATTGTACATGAATTTTGGAATCTTTTACCTTATTATACGCTATCTTTTGGTGTAGCCATAAAGCCAACAGAAGACATAGAAATCTTGCCACAGATTACTACACACCTGCTCTAAACACAAGTAATCACGATGAAAACACAATGTGTGTAGGATACTTCGAGAAATAGTGAACATAACCAATTAGAATTCCATCCCACTTTTCTTGTTAAGTTATGATTAACAGTAAATGTGCTCTAACATACATCCACCTCCTAAGAAGCGTTCATTATTCTTTTTCATATAGCGCAGTTTGTAAGTAGGAAGTTTCGTTCACTACACAGATTTGTCCTTATAGGCACACAGGGTAAATTCGAATTCGAGTACAATGTTCAAGTTACAGTTGTAAAAGTTAGGTGCAGGTCTATCTGTTCCCATAGAGAGTATTCTTGCAAGGGGATACGTTAAGAATTCAAACATGATTACAGATACCCAGAAAATATTATAAATACCCGGAAAAACCAGGCGCACACATAGTAAATAGTAAAATCTATCAACGTTGTATAGAAATACTTTGATGGAATGCAGATAGAGTAGTTTCGTACAATTTTCAAACGAATACCAACCAGAGAACGAAAAAGACACCGAGATATAAGAACATGTTTGAAAGGAACTGCTCTTCTTGATACTGACGAGAACCTCGTTGAGGGGCAGCAGGGCGAGGATCTTGTCGTGCAGTAAACCAAGTTGTGAAGAATGATAGGGGGAAGACACCTCAATATACATGTTACGAAATACCAAATAATTCGTTGCAAAGTACATACCAAAATTGTGACACCAGCTGAAAAATAGGTTCGCAAGAACCAATGCTTCACATGCCTCACGTCCAACTGACATAATCGATGTCACGCAGCTATCAGTGGTATTCATTTATCTTATCCAAAGCTCCCATTACTTTAGTGACTAACAATTAAATGATTAATTATTTATGGAAACAATAGTCCTCAAAATGAACTTGATTCATAATTATATGCAGCGCCCAGTTCTGCATAGATAATGAAGGATAAAGTTCCCGGCGTTAATCAATCCCTTAGGGATGCGCCGTGCATTCGACTTCATCAAGCATCACAGAGATTACTGAATATATATCTGGCCTATATAGTGATTTGCAGTTACCTATCAAAAGATCCCTCCCAACGGTTTACTGCCTCATCGTGGCTGGGAGGTGCTCCTGGGAGTCGGACCACGATGTATAGCGAGGGGATTCGTCCTCCCGGAAGCGTCTCCCAAGCTGAGAATGAGTCCGGCGTTTCCATCAGGAAGCCTAGTTAAGAGTAAACCAATACCAAGATTCACCATCATCCTGGTATCAAAGTCGCATGGTGGCAAATCTCCCTGAGCCACAAGGGTTGCGACTGCCCGTGGTGGTGAAGACCTGGGGCAGACTTTGGGCAGGCCTACCTCGGAATTCGAGGGAGCCACAATGGCTTTACTAGCAAATCTCCGAAAAATCGGTAATGTGGGGGCCCGCGCAGCCACTGAGGACAGGCCGTTCAAGTATCAAGTAGGTAACAGGCCTGCTACCAGGTCGCCCACCTCGGAATGACGACAAGCATGGTGGACCTGGAGCACGGGATCGAACCAACGTGTCTATTGAAAATTGCTTCTAATTACCACTTCATACTCGATTCGTTACACTCTGTGCGAATGTCACGTGTCAATTGGTGCTTAATTCTTTGTTGCACTCGCCATGAGTTGATAGCAATTCACAAAGGAATATTCTGTCCCTTCCTAGTTTATAACTATCTTTTAAGAGTTTTTGTAGGCAACAAAATGTAGGAATTAGCATTCCTCGACCAACATCAAATAATATATTAACGATGTGGAGGCTGTCGAATGAACAGAAAAAATTGCATGAAAAACTCTATGTGGCAAAACAAATGGCTGGAAAGAAAAAAGCTGGCATCAACACACGCAGGCCAACTTGCTTAAAATTATGAGTGGAAATCCACTTATACCATTAAAATCACATGAAGTATAAAGAACTCACCAATTCCAAGAGAAAATTGTACACCACCGCCTGGACCACCGTCTCCCCACTGGAAGCCAGGAAAACCTTGCTGAACAGAGGAAAGAAAATCTTAAGAATATTTGTAGCTTTAGAGTATAACATAATTCGTACTTGAATTTTTCAGCTTAAATGAGCATGAAAACGAGATTTATTCCGCTAACGTTTCGATGTCTTCGTCCATTTGTCAACCTTGTGTAAGTTCAGCAATTTGAACAAACGATTGTTTTGCCACCGAGGTTAAATGACGGTCGGTTTGAGAATTATAACACAGTTTCATAAACCGATTTTCTCATACTATTCAGCAGCATACTTTCTAAAAATTACACATGACTTTACCCCTCAAAAAAAAAATAGCATAGTGTTTCGTTGTCTTGAGATGGGTCTCATATGTTACTGAAATAGTTCCGCCGTCCAATTGCAATACATTTGCAACAACGTGACCACATATGAATTCATAAAATGGGCAAATAATGGCTACTTTAAACTTAAGCCAGCAAATCTGTTTGCAACGAATTTTATTGAATGCAAAATGGTTACAATTCTCAAAAAGATAGGCATATTTCTCACTTTTTATGTGTCGAAACTCGTAGTAAAAAGATGAATGCAGTTGAAAAACCTGTAATTCGTTTTATAGCATATTATGATGTTTCCAATGTATCGCTTAGTTTTTGCGTATATGGCGATGGGACTCGGGGAAGGATTTTAAAAGTTTAAATTCGGATCTTTTAAAAATTTTATTTACAAGACATAAAATTAAGGAAATATCTTATACGAACTTTATACACTCTTTTGCCAATGAAATCTCTTTTAAAAGCTTGTAAACAAAACTAAACTCCCCTACTGGTTTTTTAACAGGGAAATTACCGCCTCTTATGATAAAACGAGCTTCGCCGTGAATATGGTTTAAAGGCTTATTCTAGCCAAGCTTCACTTTAAGTAAAAGAACTTCATTGACATAAGGGGCAATGGAAAATTTGGCGTATTATATCATGTTTTGTTTTTTTTTGCAGCTCATACAACATATTTTTTCTAATCCTCTTGTCGACCCTGTATCTCAAAAAGCGAAGCTCTTGGACGAACAGAACACCATTCAGTAAAAAATAACGGTGTCTCACAATACATAATTGTAATTTTCAGTTGCACTGACTATGTTTCGAAAAAATTGAAATCCGACTTTAGTTTCTAACAACTTTGGAATCAAAATAGTTCTAGAACCAAGGTAACACCCTTAAAAAGTACGTATGATATTGAGATAGTACAAACCCTCTTCTGTAAGTGTACCAGGTTCCCAACCTTCGAATGTACTAGTCATCGAAGAAAAAAACGGAAAACAGCCAAGAAGACATCGTTGTCACCAATTTTAAGGGATCACTGTAGTTAGATGAGGATATCTTATCCTTCAACAACATACAAAGCTTGTACGCCTTGTTAGCATAGAACTGTACCTAGACTTCCACTAAAGCGATTGCGTAGGTCTTAGAATCTTTGAACAGCTAGAAATGAAGCGATCTGCAATCACATAACATAGTGTACAATGCAGGCAAACTTTATGTGGCTCATCCAAAACGCCTGTATAGACGAATCAGCTTCAAAAACTCATTTCCATGTTGCAATTACTACACAAATTAACCGCTGTAGTTGAAATTGAAGCGGTTTAGCGCAACAAACAATAATAACATCAACCATACCACTCAGACCGTATTATGCTACTCCCATAAACGCTTAACGACTAGGAATCTAACCGAATGTAGCGATAGCTATCGAGGTAGAAAAAGTCACCTGAGGTGACAACGAAGACCTGTACCAACCTCGCGACAACTTAAGAAGATCAATTTATAAGATCACATAAATAAATATATCACCTGAGGTGCTTCGGTTCGTTGACCACGTGGACGTGGAGGGAATTTTTCTCGTGGATCGGTGTTATCGCCACCTCGACCATACAGCGGGATTACCTGTGAACAGAATTCCACACATACCCATGTATATGATAAAAGACACTAGCGTTTTCCTCATCCATTTTAACAACGATAAGCTCTCGAGGGCCTGTGAAACGACGCTCCTTCGACAAATTTTCGTCAAAAAAAGTGCATTTTAATGGTTTCCGACAAATATGGAAACTGACTTTCTCTTTACTTATGGCGGCCTTGCACACGGGACAAAGTTGTCGGTTCGGCCTTGTATCGAGCCACTGCACAAGACATGGCCAACAAAACAGATGACCGCACATAGAGACTACCGCATCCTTTGCAGTGTCCAAACAGATATTACATTCAAACCTGGAAAGGCTCATTTGAGAAATTAAATTGCGCAAGTTGTTCTTAAGCGATTTACGAAAGTTTGGTGTTAAAAGGCACAGAGCTCATCCGAATTTAAGGAATCATCCATGAATTAATGTCCGTTGTGGAACGAACCATTTACTGGTATTACGACATTCAGTCTTAATAGACAAGCCATTATATACTCTTTTATGTAGTATGTAAAAATAGTATATGAGTCATCCTCCCAATGGTTTACCGCCTTATCGCGGTTTGGAGGTGTTCCTGGGTGTCGGACTGCGATGTACAGCGGTGAGAATCGTCCTCCCGGCAGGGTCTTCCAAGCTGAGTAGGAGTCCGGCGTTTCCATCAGGAAGCCTAGCTAAGAGTAAACCAATACCAGGATCCACCAATCCCAATTCGAACCCAGAAAACATTGTTAAAATACTTTTAAAAATCGATTTCAGCAGCTGTTAACATCATCGACGCACTTGAGAACACCACCATACGCCCCTAAATGAATCGTCCTGTTCTACAGTTTCGCATCGTAAAGGACAAGCATCGACAGTGAAAAATGAACAAGGCTCTTGCATTACAGAATACCAGTATTCCATTATAGAAGGAAAAAGCTAGTAAAACTCTACTTTGTTAACAAGGATGGGCTGAATCTACTAGTCTTCATCCAATTTAATAAAGTGTACTACACTCTGAGAGAGTACATTCCATGATTGTACATGCCGCCCAACGGTTTACCGCCTCATCGTGGCTGGGAAGTGTTCTTGGGTGTCGGGCTTCGGTGTACAGCGGAGGGATTCATCCCCTTGGTAGGGTCTCCCAAGCTGAGTCGGGTGTTTCCATCAGGAAGGCTAGCTAAGAGTAAACCAATGCCAGGATTCATCCCGTCTTGGTATGAAAGTCGCATGGTGGCAAATCTCCCTCCGATTCACAAGGGCTGCGACTGCCTATGGTGGTGAAGACCTGGGGCAGAGTTTTGCCAGATTGTCTTCGTGATTCCAGGGAACCACAATGGCTTAACCAGCAAATCTGTGAAAAATGGTGATTATGCTGGGGCCCGCACAACTAGTGAGAACGGGCCGTTCGAGTATCAAGCAAGTAAGTAACCCAAACATAAAAATCCACCCACAAAAGTTCGTTCGTCAAGGTGCCGTTTATTTAGCACTTTAAACATGCTCACGAATATTTCTTAAAAAGTTATTTTCTGCGGAGCAAAGAAAACCAAACTCAAGTGAGTAACGACCTAACGATGCAGTAACACACCTGCCGCTGTCGTCCTCTTTCTTCGACGTTTCCGGTTTATCGGAAGATGGTAGCACGGTACTGCTTTGACTTGGCTTCACATTCTCATCCATGTCGAGAAATGCGTGCTCACTACGTGTATAAACAGCTCCCTGCAAAAAATGTCAAAATTTGCCTACAACCAGAACCAGCAAACTTCTGCTAACAACGCCTATCAGAAAATCAGAAACATCGTATGAAAGGAACTGAGAGGGCAGACAAACGTCACAACTAACGGAACAATCTGGAAGCAAAGAGTCAGCAGCCGCTAAGCATCGCGTCGGCCACGACAATTCCGTCCGACGATCAGCGGCACAACAATCGATCCTGGGCGGATTACTTGTCTCGCGGAGTTGCCTCGTACAGTGATTTTCGTGCCGTCCGAAGCAGTACGCACACTGTCCACAGCGTCGCTGGGATGTTTCCTTTCAGTAGTGAGGGTGTATTTCTTTTTCAGAATGGACAATAGGGACGAGAGCGTTGTCCGTGTGCATCATGACGCCATCGGAGGAGTACGTTTGCAGAGTAACGACATTCCACCGGAGGTATTTCATCTGTTCTCCAGCATATTTCCGACCTGTGTGATTCCATTGATGAGCGCACACGAGATTGTTACGTAAGGTTTTATTTTGGGCAACGTTTCGGCGCCTCCACTTTTTTGAGATTCTCGCAAGCACGAACGACTGTGGACAATCGATTCGAATCAGAAGGGTTCTGAAGAAGGCCGAAAGGCCAAACGTTAGCTCCAGTAAGCGCTTACGTAACAAGCTCATGTTAGCGTAGACGTCGAATGATTTAGGACATCAGATACTCGTACCAAGACCAAGTCAAAGTTGCTTTTTAGAAATCTTTGAAGTGTATTGGTTAAGGTGTCAAAATATTAGCGTTTTAGATAAAAAAAGCGCTAAGTGAGCAGGAAGAGTGGCAGATTGAGCACGCTAAATTACACGAGAAGCATCGTGGTCATGAACAGATGCACCTCGAAATGATGCTCATCCTCGTGGTTACTTTGGTGGTCGCCCAGGTATTTCTCGTTCAGTGGAAGAAACGACATTTCAAGTCTTATCAGGTGGGGAGTGAAGCGGTCTTTAATGAGTCCTTATTCATCCACTGGATGATTATCCGGTTTAATTAGCTCTACCTGTTCCAGTTGTGCACGCTTTTGGGTATGTGGCTGATACCTGTGTATGTCTGCATCACTCGCAGTTGGTACAGGTTTCTGATGACTTGGCTGGTGTACACGATTTGCTCTACATGGATATGGCGAAAATCCACAGAGGACCACATACATGGGTCTACTCCTAGGTGAGTCGTCATTGATTACTTATGTTATTATATACAAGTGGTTTTTTTGTGTTTCGGCTACTATTATTATTGATCTATAGTCAAGGAGTCCCTAGTCAGTGTATAGATTCTTCGTGAGCTGTACAAAAATTTAGCCAAGAAACCACCATTATACAATGATATTAACATTAACGTCAAAAGAGGGGTAAAACAAAGCGATACCATCTCGTCAAAATTATTTACCGCCACCCTCGAGAACATCTTGCGAACATTGAAATGGGATAATATGGGAGCGAAAATCGTTGATCGGCAGTTACGCCATCTTCGCTTTGCTGATGACATCGTCTTTATAACAGCAAACATTAGCCAAGCGGAACGTAAGCTTAATGACTTTGATAAAGCCTGTGGAAAGATTGGTCTTCGACTACATCACAGAAAAAACAGTGCTCATGAGAAAGGGATTGATTACATACTCCCCATTCACGATCAAGGAATAAATATCTACGAATGATCCAGTTATATCTATCTAGGTCGGGAAATCAATATGATGAAAGGCCTAACTCCAGGGCTCAGCAGAAGGAAACGAGCGGCTTGGGGAGCTTTCAAGAGCATTGAGGATGTATTGAAGAGGACAAAGAACACCCGACTCCGTGTCCACCTTTTCGACTCAACGGTACTACCTTCCCTAACATATGCGTCAGAAATCTGGTCGCTGCGTAAGCAGGATGAAAGGTCACTCAGCGTTATTGAACGCGCAGTCGAAAGGGCGATGCTAGGAGTATCCCGTGTCCCACAACTTAGGGAAGAGATCGGGAGCTCCAACCTACCTCAGCAATCAGAAGTCAGAGATGCTGTTCTATACACCAAACAGTCGAAAATAAGGTGTGCCGGACACGTTATGCTTATGAACGACAACCGATGGACAAGAGCCGTTAGTGACTGGATTTCTCGGGATGTCAAACGCAATGCGGGAAGACCACCGATCCGATCGTCAGAGTTCTTCACGAAAAACCTAGAAGAATGATATGGTGCTCAGGGAGTTCCTAGAGCGACCAGAACCCACTAGGCTACTCTTTCACGCGACAGGGAACAATGGAAGATATACTGACGTTCGCTGGGTCACTCGACGATCAAAGGGTCTACAGGTGATACAGGTGATACAAGTTTCGGCTGTATTGTTTGCTAGTGGAGGCTCATCATAGAAATGCATTACATAGTAAGATATTACCGACTTCATGTCTATACAGTCGGTACACAACAATATGAAACATATTAGCGATGGTATGAGCGCGTGTAGAGCAGTGGTCAGAGGCACCCTGCAATACACATGGTATTGATTCCCGCGCCCAAGGCTCACCAAGCCTTTCAATCCCTCTGGAGTCCGCGAACTGATACGATATCTGTCTTAGAGGATAGCAGCAGTGGCTCGATGCATCGGTAGGCCACCGCGAGTCATTGTAAAGGTCAGATATGCATTCAATAACTTCCAGCAATGCTTAATGAAGGGATGCATAGCTCATAACTCATCGGTAAATCAACGCCGAGAGCTTAATCCCTTTGTCCTTTTTTATTAGCGACATTTGAGTCATGTATATTCTTGACACTTGAACGGCCCGCCCTCACTGCTTGTGCGGTCCTCGGCTTAGTCTCCATTTTTCGGAGATTTGCTAATAAAACCATTGTGGCTCTCTCGAACCCCAAGGTCAGCCAGGCCAAAGTCTGCCCCAGGTCTTCACCACCATAGGCAGTCGCAGCCCTTGTGAATCGGAGGGAGATTTGCCACCATGCGACTTTCATACCAAGACGGGGTGAATCCTGGCATTGGTTTACTCTTAGCTAGGTTTCCTGATGGAAACACCGGACTCCTTAACTTGGGAGACGCTACCAGGGGGATGAATCCCTCCGCTGTACACCGAAGCCCGACACTCAAGAACACTTCCCAGCCACGATGAGGCGGTAAACCGTTGGGAGGCATGTACAATCATGGGATGTACTCTCTCAGAGTGTAGTACACTTTATTAAATTGGATGAAGACTAGTAGATTCTGCCCATCCTTGTTAACAAAGTAGAGTTTTACTAGCTTTTTCCTTCTATAATGGAATACTGGTATTCTGTAATGCAAGAGCCTTGTTCATTTTTCACTGTCGATGCTTGTCTTTTACGGTGCGAGACTGTAGAACAGGATGATTCATTCACGGACGTATGGTGGTGTTCTCAAGTGCGTCGATGATGTTAGTGACGTCGATGACTCTTCAACTTGGGAGACCCTACCAGGGGGATGGATCCTTCCGCTGTACACCGAAGCCTCTCTTAGAGGCTACACTCTTAGAGCGGTCTGGCGAAGAATATTGTTTGAGATTCCGAACTTCTCAAATATTTAAGTATTCCATTTATCGGAAATTGCCGACGGTTATCAAGAAGTGCACGATGTTCGGTGTTATTCTGTTAATCACTCCGTACATCTACTTTGTAAAGATCTTTCTATGTTTTCGTTTTGCGAGGAAGCGTTAAAATAACCGCTTTCAAACCATCCCGACTGAGTCACTGAACGACAGTGTTCGGTGAAGTGATCAGGAGATTTGGTGAAATTCTAGGATAATTTTTGCCGGTGGGTAAGTTGGGATTTCGGAACAGTTTTCGTAACGAGCTATACTTGCAACGTACTTGAATTAGAATCGGATGTTTTCATTGAGAAACTGACCATGCAAGGGGATAGAAGTGTTCGAAGTGATTGAGATGTAAAGCATTGCCTGTTCTACAGTAGCAGGATACACACGCTCGTCAAGACATACAAGTGCAGCAAAGATCTTCCATCAAAGTGGCTCTACTCAGTAGGAAATGTTGCTGTCGAGATTTTGTCATTGTAGAAGAACATAGTTGTCTTAGCGGGTTCTCCCATAGGGATACGCATAATTACATATGAACTCACCAATATTAAAAGATTGACTCGCAAGGCGATTTCATTTCGTCACTACACCTTATTCGCTTTATTATTGAATGTTGTATGGTTAAAAATTAGCTAAGAGAATCGAGTACTAACCGATTTCATCGGAAGATATGGAAGGATCAAGTTCTGTTTTCGAAAGAAAACAATACTGATTATAAGTGAATTTTTTGGTGTTTTCTCTCAACGTCGAGCAGAAAGAACATCTCCAATTTTTTTGTGTATATTTCCGAATTGCATAGTTTAAATGATGAACGACATGACCTAGACTTGAACGAAGAGAGAGTAATGGTTTCGGAAACCCTAAAAAGTGTATGTGAGGAAACAAGGAACACACCATCCTGCCCCTATTCTTTCGACTCTTCGGTTCCTTCTGTTTAGTCATGCGCTTGGGAAATCCTTCGCCATAGCGCATGATGGAAATACGGTTAACATAAGAAAATGTGTTCCTACGTTGACATTAGAAGACCAGAGACGAGATGGACAGATTGAACTATACGAACGATTTTTTGGTCAAAAGCCTTCAGCTCTTAGGTCTCTCTTGTTATCGCAAGCAGAGCAAAACTATGGTCACAGATCCGGTGTTCAGGTTTATTCATGTGCATCATAGACAAAATGTCATTGACTTGACATTCCTTGGACAAACGAGATTCACTGTGCATTTTTGGCAAGCGACAAGGGCTAGTGGAGAGGTGGCGCGCACCTGCCAGAACGCGATGGTAAGCGGAAATATAGATTAAAAGATAAAACTCTCGGCGTTGATCAATCCCTTATTGATGCGTCATGCATTCGATTTCATTAAGCATCATTGGAGATGACTGGATGCATAGCTGGCCTTTACAATGACTCGTGGTAACCTCCCGATGTTATCGAGTTAGTGCTGCTACCCTCCCAGACAAGTCCGGCACCAATTTGCCGAACCCGGAGGGGTGGGAAGGCTAGGTCAGTCTTGAGCGCGGGATCGATCCCACATGTATCGCTAGGCGCCTCCGACCAGTGCGTCACAAGCGCCTATTAGCTAATGGATAATAATGTAAATAATAAAAGTAGAAATAGAAAAGTAGAAGTAGAAGAAAATATAGATAATACAAATTAATTGAAATTCCGCACATTTCGTTAGTCTTGACAGGGTTTATGTAGCGTTCAACTTATTGGAGGTTATTCTTCAACTGCAATTCGTTTTGGTTTGATTTTCATATAAGCCACCTTACCTGAATTCTTTATATGTTCACATGACTTTGTAATTTCTGAACTGAATTCTATGCTGTGAAGTCAAGATGACTTCATTACACGGTTTCCAAAAGTCGTTTCCATGGAATAGATGACCGTTTCAATGAATCTAGATGGGTGTGTCGACTTTTTTCACGAGTTCTAGTTCATTTGTTTTTTCTTCCCTGAGCTTTCGTCAATTAATGAAGTTCGGAAATAATTGAAGTTTTTGGGTCAAGGTTAAGATGTTAGGCAGCTATTATCGTTTATTTCTACTAGAATTTTATTGAAAGGTGTTAAAAAGCCCATGTAACAACAGGTATTGTGGGTTATCGCGATAATTCATATCCAGTTAACGTCTTTACAATCGTATCTTTATTTCCAAATTTTTTTTACCATTTGTTCTCTAAGGCATGCAGTATTTGGTGGTGACACAGTCTGTGGTAGAGCACTTCCTTTACCCAACGAAAACAGTCCTTTTCAAGCAAAACTTGTAGTAAAATATATTTTGAGTCGGTGTGCTGTAAAGAAACTACCCGTGGCTTTTAGATTAGTCTATAAATGGTTTCTCTTTCTACATAAACTCAGCTATGTATTGGGTATCGCCGGATACATAGTGATGGTATTCACTCTGATGGGTCTAAACCACATATTTGGCTTGCACTCTACAAGCTGTATGGACGCAGGTGAGAAGTTTTCCAATGGTTATAGTTACCTGTTCAACTTCTATTTAATTAGAGGTCTATTTTCACCTCGCTTAACTGGGACTGCTTATAGGAATATTACTTCTTTTTTACGGTTTATATTATGGTGTTCTTGGACGAGATTTTGCTCATATTTGCACCGATCGGATGGCGTGTAAGATTGGAGTACGTTTTAAGTATTCCCTACTGTTTAGAACTTCTTCGCTTCTTCATCTTGTACCATCTTTCTTTATTCATCTTTGATATTATCATATTTCTTTTTTCTATGATTGTGTAAGAGGCCAATAGCTTTCACCACACTAGTATTAGGTTCTTTGGTCATTAATGTCTCATTTGTACTTGTATTTTCCAATTTGCATATCTGAACCCAGAACGAATTTAATTGAGATAAAAAACGCTAAGATCTACATATTTCTGTTAATGGCTCTCACAGAAAATTGTCCAGATGCTTTAAGTGATATATGGTATGCGAGTGGTCTGACGAGTACGGTTACCGGGATATTTCGTAACCTAGCTGGTCCAACGTTTGCAGCATTGATTGTGCCATGCGTCGCTGATCGTTGTGGTAGAGAATTTATTATCTTTCTGTTGACGTTAAAAGCTCAGCCGTTGAAGTTGCTGGTACATTTCGTCGATTTCCTGAGCATACTTCGCCGCAATATTTTCACCCATATTTAGGAGGGTGTAATGTATGAAACCAGCTATAGAAGTTTAGTATGGCCTTCTTTTGGTGCAAATTTTGGCTTTGCGAAGTACTTTGGAGCTTCATCGTGATCTAATCACTGAGTCCATTATCGCCGGTTAACATACGCAATGCATTTCTTGTCGTACATCAAAATATGGTCGAAAAATGAGTCCTCATGGTTGCGTAGAAGCATCTACATCTCAAAACAAGGAATTCCTTGATTGTTACTCAATCGGAGTAGCATGCATTTGTCCAGCTTCTTCGACTTCCCGATTTTTTGAAACTATTCGGAAGCAGTCGAGATACTTATAGAGCTCTTGTGCCAGTTGTCGAGCAATTGTGCATGTATTTTCTTCTCTACCAAACTCTTCAGTTCATCGTGGTCAGTAGGGAAAGGACCTATGTGCCTCTTTAATCTTCAAGATCGAATTAGCTACGATGAAGTTTTCCAAACCAGCGTTGGACTGTGCGTTTAGTAACGTTTTCTAGACCCATTCCCCTAGATCTTATACCTTGAGCTGTCTGTGCTGGGTACGTCCGTCCGTTTATTTAAGTTCATGTGATAAACAGATTAGTCAAAATTGCTGTTTTGACATCAGAAATTCCAGCCTTTAAAATTTTCCAAACCTACAATTTATGTTATAATTCAATTATTCGCAGCGAAAGTGTATAAAAATGAACTTTGCCATGATATATAATTTTAGAAGCGAAAAATATGACAAGAAGCTCGAAGAATGTACAGGAGAAAAGAAATTACAAATCGGACGAGGAACCGTTTTGGATATCTTGTACGGCAAATTCTAATCTTTGTGTTTCAGTACTTCACTCATGATGGTCTCCCTAAAAAGCACTTGGAGAGTGGCGTGTGTGCTATTTGTGATAATCGTCTAGTTGCGTCGAATTTTGACGACAAGGAGGAAGAGGAAGTTGAAGAGAAGACCTACAGGTCTTGCTTTTTTTTTACAATTACAGTTTCACAATCGTTCATTGCGAAACTTCCTTTTCACCAAACCACAGAGTGTCCTACGTTTTTACTCTGTTTAGCCTTTCTTGTGGACACGTTTTTCACGAATTTTGCATACGTGGATGGGTTGTTGTTGGTAAACTACAAACATGTCCTTACTGTAAGGAGAAGGTGGATTTGAAAAGGATGTTTAAGAATCCGTGAGTTTATCCCACATTTCTGCAATTTTGGCCACTTTAAGATTGTAGCTTTATTAGACAGTTTGGGAACAACGCTCGTGCTTATATAAGAAACCATGTGTATTCACCCTTTATACATTTATTACAAATTTTTCTCCGCTCCGGAAAGGGAATTTCAACGGTTATGGTTAGGAGAAAGGCGCGTGCAGCGCAGTAGTTGGAGACGGCCTGCAACAACTAGGACCTATCCTTTCACTCCCTCGGGGTCAGTGATTCGGTACCAGAGTTCTCTAAGACGATCCTAGCACTATCTCGACACATTGGCAGCCCTTTACGAGTTTTTCTAAACTCCAGATATGCATTCGATCACTCCAACGATGCATAATGAAGTCGAATGCTTGGTGCATCCCTCAGGGATTTATCAACGCCGAGAGCTTTATCCTTTATCCTTTTACAGTTGGGAGAAGCCACATCTCTTTTATGGGCAGCTTCTGGATTGGATTCGATACCTCGTTTGTTGGCAACCGTTAATTGTTACTTTTGTTCAAGGTCTTAACCACATTCTTGGACTAGAATGACAGATTTCATAATTATATTTATTACTTGATTCTGAAATGTTCTGAGAACTTACATATTCACGTACAGTTTATTTTTCTGGATTTGTATATCCAAGTTGTATGTCTTTCCAGACACCCTGGGTTATTGGAATGTTTTTGTTTTGCATTATAGCATAATTTTTTAATTCAGCTCTTGATTTTTATATTAAAAGGGACATCTATCAGCTATCCTTTTGTCCAACGTAGTTTGCGAGTTAAATGCGGTGATTGTTTCACATTTATAGATGTTCTGATGCATTTCTTCCTCCTTATTTATTTCAGTATGACAGGTCTAGACGTACTCGCTTCTTATGCTTATCTATGACACTGGCTTATTCGTGGTTATGAATTTATAGGGACTTGGCCATGGGCAATGTACATATCAGGGTTCTTTATTAATTTTTATCATATTGAGCACACTCATTGTGTATTTTCTATAGGAGAAGCTGAATTCGTCTTTATATTCTTGTAACTGTAGTAGTAGTGTTTGCGTCTCACGAGTGTCGCTTTAATACCCTGTTGTTCTAAGGTTGCTTTTCTTGACAATGAATCCCATGTTGATAGACTATGTCCTAAGTATTCCGTGCTTTCAGCAACATTTCGCAATCATTGTTGCATCTCTCGGTGTTGTGGGCGGTTTTGCACAAGAATTTCCATGAAAGTGTACAGAACTTGTGGTATATGTATATGCGCTTTATCTATCTCACACTACATTTTTATTTTCATTTTTATATAACCCGTCTTCACGTCAACTATGCGGATCCCAGCACTTCTCATATTCGATTCGTTTCCTCTTTTCCATCATCCATTGAGCTCTTCCAATTTTTACGTGTGGGTTCGGTTGCTGCTTGAGGATTTTCGTTTCAGCCTGAATGTCGTGGAATGCTGATTGAGCAATTCTCACTGGAGTCTTTAGATAGCCGGGCTAAAGCGTTCCCAGTTGGATTGCAGAGAGCAATTTTTTCCCAGACAAGTCCGGTACCAATTACTCGCAGGATGAGAGGCTTGGTTGGCCCGGAGTGGAATCGAACTTGCACCATGCTTGTGATTACCGACATCACTACCCCTGTGCTGTCGGTCCCTACACCACACTACATTTTAGCACTTTTAAACATATCCTCTAGGTTTCTTAAAATATAATGCTTACCTTGCCCTTATCCTTTGTTGTAGACATGGGCTGATTTTGGAAAGTCCCCATTTCATTTCGACCATCCATCATTTAGAGAAAAACCTTAAATTTAAGCGGAGATTTGGCAGACGCAATAACACGGAAACGTACAGTACTGAAACCTGCCGTCCGTATCACCGGTCATATTGATCGTCGAGTGAGAGTGGGAGCCAGTAAACTTACCATTTTCTCTGTCGCTCGTAAAAGTAGTTTAATAAGTTGTTATCGCTCAAGATGCTAGTTGTGCACCATATTTTTCTTCTAAGGTTTTCGTGAAAAATTCTGACCATCAGGTCAATGGTCTCTGCTGTGGGCTTCACATTCTTTGGGATCAGGCATTAACACTTTTGTTCATCAGTTCTCATTTAGTCACTATAGCGCGTCTACGGCGTATCTGACCTCAGAAGATAGCTTGGGACTTCGGATTCCCTCTCTCACATGCGTGACACGGAACACTCCTACTATAAACTTCGCGACAGCGCTTTTGATAGTGCTGAACAATCTTTCAACGCGGTTAGGCAGCGATCAGGATTCCGATGCAAACGGGTGAGGCAGTTAGAATCGTTGGATTAAAAGGCAGGCACGAAGTTGCATGTTCCCAGTCCTATTCGTTGTACCCCAATCCTCCCGGGAGCGGCCCGAGACTGTTGCTTCAACTCAGCTCTGGTGCTGGGTCGTTCATCATGGTGACTTCTCGACAGACATAGATGTAGCATTCGAAGGTTTTCCGTTGAGCAGTGCACAAAGTTCCTAAAGTGAAGTAGTTTCTTGAGATAATGAACAAGTAGGCACTTCACAATTCTCATCAGTCTGTAACAGATGCGTGACTGCTCGAGTCACATATAGTTCATTTTCCTTCGGCTGTTTCTCTTGCCGATTAACGCTTTTATGTAGTTTTTTTACTTAGTTGGATAAGTTTCTGATAAATTTCAAATCAGTCATCGCACTAAAAAGGCTAGTTGATACACATTGTGGTTTACAAAAATCGTCTTTCTACCGAAATCGATCGTTTCACGGAGTTGCGCAGCAGGGAATGGGTGTTTAGATGTCCCTATTGAACAGGGAAGGCATAAGTTCGATGAGTTCTTTTGTAATGACAGATCTCATATGAGACAGTTTCGCTTATATGAGTCACATGGGAAACTTGGCGTTCTCAGAAATCTATCAGATAATTTGTAGGATATTACTGTAGGAGTTGAGGAAATTTTTGCTGCAGCAAACGGGCCCATCGTGAGGTTATTTCTTGGAGACTACATCTGAGCCCTTCACCCGGAGACAAATCAGTGTGGGCATTCTGGCCTCTGAAAAAGAGCTTTTCTATGCGACACCTCATGACGTGCGGTCGACACTAGATTATTGTTGAGCAACTTTCGTAAAAACCTAAAATCATTTAGCACATACCCAGGATCTATCACTGAGACCCTATCTAGTCGACTTTCGTTTCTTCCCTTATGGGTCACTATTTGGAGGACCAGATATTCATGAGCCAATAGACCATGGACGACGATTGCGAGAGAAATAAACAAATGGGAAATGTGCTGCGGTCCGCACAACTTGTGAAGACAGACCGCCCAGGTATCCATGTAATATTCAAGTTTCTTTAATTGTTTGGCGGCGCGTAGAGCCTAATGGTTAGTCGTGCCCTCCAATACGTGGTCTTTCGTTCTTTGATGCCCTGGGCCCACCAATTCTTCCATACCTCGGATCAGCAAGTTAGTAACAGCGTTTTCTGCGGAGGCACTGATTTGATGTGTTGGTAGCCCATCGCAAGTCATAAATAGATTCAGTCTTACTTACTTGATACTTGAACGACCCGTCCTCACTGGTTCTGCGGGCCCCAGCATAATCTCCATTTTTCGGAGATTTGCTGGTTAAGCCATTATGGTTTCCTGGAGTCCCGAGGTCAGCCTGGCCAAACTCTGCCCCAGGTCTTCATCACCACCACAGACAACTGCAGTTCTTGTGGATCAGAGGGAGATGTACCACCATGCAACTTTGATACCAGGACGGTGGTGGATCCTGGTATTGGTTTACTCTTAGCTAGACTCCCCGATCCCCCATGGAAACGCTGGACTCTTTCTCAGCTTGGGAGACCCTGCCAGGGGATGAATCCCCGCTGAATGCCAGGGGATGAATTACATTGCAGTCCAACACCCAGGAACACCTCCTAGCTACGACGAGGCGGCAAACCGTTGGGCGGATAGATTCAGTCAGTCCTAACAATGCTCGACGAAGTCAATGCATGGCACCTCCCTGAGGGGTTGATCAGCGCCAGGAGCTTTATGCTCCATTCTTTATAGTGGCTTATGTTTAATGAAGGTTAGCCAAGTTACGGAAGTACAAATACTAGTTGTGAAGTCGACTAAGATCTTCCGAATGTTGCTGATATCCACACTTGTTCAGTATATCGGTCAGGTAAACGTCCTGTTGAATTATCACCTACGCGTGCCATTTTTTAGTACGTATTAAAGATGTTTGTAGTACAAGTATGATTTGTTTACGTTGATATTGGTGCTTACTGCCGCCCTATTACCGATATTTTATTTGATGCTATTTTTTGGTAGAAAGAAATGGTATGTCGTCTACATTTCAGAAAACACCTACATCTTTAGGAAATGGCTACGGATCCTATTAAAAAGAAGTAAGTGGTTATCTCAGATTCACTACCACGTAGGTCATTTCTAACGTCGTTCATGAACTGCTTGGTTTTTTTTTGCCAAAGTTCCTTTTTAATGTGACAATTAGACAGTACGGACTGATTGTTCGGAAGAAAGTGGTGGAACCGAAAGTGCGGCCAATTGCTAACGTTTTTGGCATTGATGATGAAGAGGAATCTGAGAAGGTACAAACTGTTTTTTTGCTAATAGCATACAGATCAATATATACGGCTGAGAGAAGGCGAAACGAAAGATCCGCATGGTGTGGAAGTGAATGCGTTAGATCCCAGAAAGGGGAATAGCGTGTTCGGTCCCCACCGCGGGCACCACTATTCCGGAGTTTTGCAAATATCTTAGCATCATTATGGTGCGAACTGTTTTCACCACAATAACGACTACAGAAACGGTTTTTGATCTGCCGCTCCATAATATCCATTGTCCACTCTGTCTAATGAGTTCTTAAGACATTATTGGATATGTTTATACATTTTCCATAAGATTGCATCTGTAGTCAAGTTCGACGGTCTTCCAAATACGTGCACATCTTTTTTTTGAAAGTTCAATGCTTTAAGGAAAATGGTTGAATGTTCATGTTTCAAGTGCCAAGCAGTCATTTTCTGCCCTAGGAGAACCCCTTTGGAGAGTTCGCTGTAGGCGAAGAAATGGGTTATTTGCTAGTTTTCTCTTTTATAAATAGGAAGTTTAAAATATACCTTTTTGGTTGCGCAGTTTTATTATTACCACCCTTGTCAATTAAATACTTAATGATTGGTTAACTAATTGATTAATTGTTACTAATTCGCTCTATTCTACAATTATCATGGGTACGTGAAGTATAGTCGTTAGAGATGCCGTGCAATACAAGCGTGATTAGTAGCTCTACCCTGACCACGCCAACCAAGCATACCATTCCGTCCGACAAATGAGAAATTGTACAAAGTTTTCTTCGATTAATAACCTCCAGAGGCCTGTGTAGCGCAGTGCTCGGAGGAGCCCTGTGATACACATGGGATCGAACCCTGCACCTCAGGTACAACAAGCCTCCCATCCCTCTGGGGTCGGTAAATTGGTACCAGACTTGTCTGGTAAGATAGCAGCACTGGCTCGATACATCGTCAAGCCACCGCGAGTCATTTTAAAGGCCAGATATGCATTCATTCATTTCCGACGATGCTTATGAAGTCGAATGCGCGCTGCATCCCTCTGAGATTGATGAACGATGAGAGCTTTATCCTTTTATCCTTTTAATAAAGGCCGACAACTGCGTGTGGTGAGGAACTGGCAACACGCTAGCAGAGCCATCCTTGTATTCCATGAAAAATCAACCCAATGAGAATTCAACAACATCGATGGGGACGAAGTCATCAAGTGGCTGCTGTACCCAAATCCGGAAACTTATGGGTAAGGGATGCAATATAATGGAGTATAAAGTGTTAGTATTTTCGTAATATGCGAAGCCGGGTCATTTAAACGAAAAAATATTATTGCCGGTGGTGTCAGATTATCCCAGGGCCACGATTCTTACTAAACGATTCTAAGCCAGTAAGTGTAAAGTCCTCATATGGATCGAATATCAGACGGAAGTATCGGACGAATCGTGTCAGTATAAAAATGTAATTCTACAGGTTGATGTCTCGAACAGAATACAGTCGGCCTCTACAATTAGGATACAAAAGCATGCTGAGCGGCTACAGGAGATGGCTATTGCAGAAGATCCTACAGTATTCGATTACGATGCCAGCTACGATCAAATACAAGCTGCTCGCGATGAGAAGGTACGTTGTCGTTTGGCCGAGTCTAGTAAATGTTTTTACAACATCCGTGAGGTGTTTTAGGCCCACGGTTGTATTGAGGCATAATTTATACGATTTTACACAGTGTCACACCAAGAATAACATAGTATAATAGGCATAGTAACATCTTTCTCACCGTTTTTTTTTTTGAAGAATATATATTTAAAGATAGCCGAACGGAAAAAGGCGGATAAAGAGAGGAAATCGAAATATGCGCTAGATATTATCAAAGCACACAAGAGGAGAGAGCTCGAACAACATAGTCGCGAGGAGCGTCAACAACAAAAGGAGAGATCGGAGGAAGGAGACCAGTTCGCGGATAAGGAGGTATAGGGCTCATTAGTCAAATTTTCTATTGCAAGCGGCGGCACGCGCAGTAATACTTTTTTGAGGTGTTCGTAACAAACGAATACAGGAGGCAAATGGAGGAAGTGCAAAAATTCCGCGAAGAGGAAGCTTATGAAAAGAGATTTAACGGTAATTATAATGCTTAATATATTATCAGGAGCGCGTATGGCGCAGTGATCGGAGGCGCTCTGCAATACACACATGGCATCGATCCCCACACCCATGGCTCACCAAGCCTTCCATTCCTCCGGAGTCGGTAAACTGCTAACACATTTGTCTAGGAGAATAACAGCAGTGGCTCGATATATCGATAGGCCACCGCGAGTCATTCTATAGGCCAGATATGCATTCAGCCACCTCCAACGATGCTTAGTGAAGTTGAATGCATGGCGCATCTCTCAGCGATTGATCAATTTTGAGAGCTTTATCATTTTTTTCAATAAATTATCAGAAGACGGATAGCAAGTATTTTAAACTCGGCAGAAGTTTCGACAGCTTTTGCTTTCTTTATGGGTTTGTAGAATCATATTCACTAGATTACTGTTTTGTAAAATACTTTTTTCTATCGTTACAGTAAAGGCCATAAAACGCTTACTAAGGTAACCTTAATATTAATTATTCATTTTTCGGGTGAAAAAATGTCTGCCTGTTAAAGTTGAAAGTTTAATATTAGATTGTGGCGCGACTACACTGATCTTATGGAAGTACTTGATTCCGAGAAATCGGGTGTTAATCGAAAGCAGTTGTAGAATTCCATAAACTGGTGGTATTTATCTAGATATAGGAAGGGTGAACCATATGCATTGATTCCAGTGCATTTCATTTCCTGCTGCTTACTTTGCGGTACAGAGATCTTTTGCTGTGCTTTCTTACTCGATCGAGAGCATATTTTAAGAGCGCTTTAGGTCGGCAATCCCAGTACTCCAGGGGGAGTCGACTCAGCAGGCATTCAATGGCACTCAATAAGATGACGACGATCTTTAAGCAGCAGCCGAACCTACATGCAGAAAGTCCGAAGACCTTCGTGGAAGATGGATGCGAGGAAACGATTCGAGTGCAGGAAGTGATGGTATCGGCACAGTAAACGTGAAGATGGATCGTGTAAAAAAATGGCATATCAATTAGAGCTGTTGTTCCAGACGTGGTCCGTGAAAAGCTATTACCTACACTTAATAGTTTACAAGAAACTTTATAGTATGGTTTCTCCGTATCGTATTGTTATCGTGAGTTTTTTTTAATGAGTTCCTGGATTCTGTGAGGGGAGTTTGGAATAGTCTCACGTGAATGAGTTAATGAGATTGTGATTGCTGATGGCAATGGTAGAAAAAAGAATAGGCGGAGAAGAAAAGACTAAAACATTCTGAGATCGTAGATACTTCTGAGTCTCTATTTCTTCCCGTAACATGTCAACCATGTTAGCAGTTCCACGGTCTGATTGTTAATAAGTGTTGTATAACCTATTTTGTGAAGCGGGAGCATAGCACGACGTGCAGTTTTTCGCCTCATTCGTCAATTGAATTCAGTTCCATCTATTGATCTTGGTAGCCTCTTGATGGGAATATTTTTGCTGGTCCGACGCCTGTTACAATGGTTTTTGTTGAATAAGCTATTAATCGGGGAGGAAAATTAGAGACAAAAAGTTCTATATAGAGCAATAAAAAGTTGGAAGGAAACCAGCCAGTACCAATCCGCATCGGCCCATCTGCCGCCCATGTATAAAGGATAAAGTATGAAGCTTTCTGCGTTAATCAATTCCTGAAGGATGCCTCATGTATTCGACTTCATCAAGCATCGTTAGAGGTGAATGAATGCATAACTGGCCTATACAATAATTCGCGGTGGTCTTTCGGTGTATCAGATAGGTCTGGTATCAATTCACCGACCTCGATGGGATGGAGAGCTTCGTGGGCCTGGTGCGTGGGATCGGTCCCATGTGCAACAGTGTAGGGCAACTGTGACCACTGCGCAACACACGCCCATCTGCCACCCATGTATGATGTGAGTAGAAATCAACTCACATTGGACATTAAATATTAGCGATATCTGTGTTTAATCGTCAAAGTGACATTATGTCTTTGTTTCTTATGTATAGCCATAGGACGGTGCTGATGAAAGCCTATCAGTTTCAGGATGGTGGAGGAACTGTATGACTATAAGAGTTGACATTGTTTTGAAAACACTCGTATTTTTCTAGAGCTAACATCAGTGGAGCATCAGAAGGCGTGGCAGGCTGGTTTTGGTCGTACGCTGTTAAGTGAGTTAGCGAGAGGCGAACAAAGCTTAATGCAGAAAGGTTCACTTCATGATGGTAGCAAGGGAACTCTGAATGAAACGACAAAAACAAAGATTCGCAATATACGGCAGAGGTATCCGTCATTTGTCTGCATGTTTATTAGTACATCTGAGATTCTTAGTCCAGTTCTATTCCAGGCAGTACAGCGATGCAAATTCCTCCGATGAGTTAGCGACCACAGAAAATGCGAATGAAAAAACCGTTCCAGCCAAAAAATCCATATACTCTGATGAAGAAGATGAAGCTGGATCTAATTTCGAGACACCACAAAAAAATTTCCCTGGAGAGCTCAAACCAGGACTTAATCGCGTTAGTTTGTTAGTATAACTCTTCGTGTAATCTTAACTCTTTTATTTACTGCCTTTTTCTTCTTAATGGCAGGGTCCCGGATGACCCGGATGGTGTAGTGGTGAAGTGCGCTGCTCCCCGGTAAGGACAACAGCGCGTGTTCGTTCTCCACTGCATACACCTGTGGTCCGGAGTTTTGCAGATATCTCAGCACTTCATACGAGTTATATTTCTCTTCGTGTAATATTTATGGATAAAATATGGAAAATATGCAGGAAAATGTTTATGAAAACTGACTTTTGTCTAGTCTTGGGTTGAATAACCAACAATTTTGTTTAACTGATAAGCTCGACCTGAGTTTTTAAAACCCTTATTCGGTTTTGCAAACGTAATCTTGAGTGGGTAATCAATCAGGAACTGTCATCTGTACTAAGGTATTGCCGAGTGAAGTTTCTTCATTTACGTGCTGTTCCGTTCCATTCGATATGACTACCATGACTCACGTATAGGAAGGAACAACGTTGCTGGGACGGCTTGGATCGTTGCAGCTCATGCGCTTAGCAACTCCAAAATGTTCTCCACAATGACATTTCGTGTAAACTTAGCAGTAAAACAAGATTCAGCGAACGATTTATCTGGTTTGAAATCGTTGCTGTTTATTTATAGGTTGTCAAGGCGCAAACAAAATCGGAGAAGCTGAGGGAGCGTCAGTTCACTCCAACACCTCCGTCTTCGGACAGTGAAAGTGAATGCCGGAAAGGGAGAACTGGTAGAAATGAACATGTGATGGATAAAAAGTATGAAAGTAACCATGGAAATAGAAAGAAAATGGTAGGTTCCATTGCTCTTGTTACTTGCGTGTGTTAATTCCATTCGCGTATGCACCGTTTTTTTTATGTAATGAAGACGTAGGGTTACGCTTCACGTCTCAGCGCGCATAGTCTGCATTGAGATGAGCCCATATTGTCCGCTGTGACACCAAAGGTAACCGCGCGCCCCGGTTTTTTGTCGTTCGGTCAAATTCGGCTTCTTCATCTCCTATGTGGTATTCTCCTATATATTGTTCCCATCCACATTTGACCACAACGAAGTTGAGAATCTCTAATGTTTCCAAAGATACACCCTGTGAAATCATATCGATCGCAGTTTGTACGGATGCGTTAGAACATCTTTGTACTGTTCTCAACAGTGATAACTGGCGAGCAAACTAAAACGAAGTTTTTGTAAATCATGAAGCTTGGTACTCAAATTTTCTCGAGCAACACTTGATTCAGCATTTTTAATCGGAAATCTGTCCATTTGGTACAGAAATATTGAAAAAAGTCTCCCCAGCCAAAAAAAATGAACAGTCAGAAAGAAATTCATGCGGTACAGTTCTCCTTTCGTACTTCCGTATTCCTTGAAATCAGTAGCTTGTGTATGATGAGTGGTATGCATTCAAATGAGTATATTTTAGTCCCTAAAACAAAGAATTGAGCCGAAGAAGAATGATAAGGATCTGCGTTTAATGAGGCTAAAAGAGATCCTGAAACAGCGGAATGGACCGGAAGAAATTGAAGAATTCAAGAAACGGTATTTTGAAAGGAAGGAGAATGGAGTCGTCGTACCACCTCTGTAGCTGTTGTGTACATAAATGAGGATTTTACAGTTTTTTTTTTGTTCAGCCTGTGACATACATAGTACCAGTATTAACTAAGGTACAACTAGAATAACGATACCATCGACAATATTTCTCATTTTTCACATTTCCTACGTCTCTGTTTTATTGATTGTATAAAGCACAGGATTGTGTATGTTATATCAGAAGAATGGTATTGTGAATCGATATTGTCGATATTATCACGTAGATATCAAAATACCATATACCAAGACTATTTTCGTCTATCATAGTGGGATATTTCTCTTGAACATGATTAGTAACAATCGCTTTCCTTCCTTTTGGAACGAACTCTCGATTACACTAGTTGTTCAATTTTGCTTGCTTTTGACTCATCATGGTTGCCGTTTGAATCCGGAATGAGTGTAGGGATACTATCATGAGTTCAGGAGTTGTGTAGAGATCCTGTCAGGTGCTCGGGATGTGTGTAAGGATCCCATCACTTTCGTTTGTTTATTCATCTTGTGATCGTCTAGACGCATGGTTTGGATGGCAACTACGAGCTGTGGTATTTTATTCAGTATGTGAGAATGGCTGATCAACAGGTTTATCGACTCCGTTGGCCTATGTTTTCTATTGTATCCGAGGTTTTAATTCCTTCGCTCCGATGTTCCTTTTTGTGGCGTTCTGTGCTCATGATATGACGGGCCCATCGATTCTTTTAGAAGTGGTCTGCTAGGTCTGCAAAACGGGCATTCTTAATTTGAATCATAAAGACCGCTAGGCCGTAAACTGTAGCCAACTTCTTTAATGTTGTCGAGCTATTTGTTTACTATTCAGCTGCACAACATGGACCTGTTGGGTCAAGCAAGTGAGCACATAGGATGAGATCAGTAAGCTACCATTGTTAGAGCTCAGACGGCGGCCCACATTGCTTATTGCATCTTAAAGAGTTGTTCTCTCACATTTTCATCTATATTCTTTTCATATCCTAAGCATAGAAGGATATGGCCCTCATTAAGTGATCTATCCAACATAGTCCGTTCTACTTCGCAATGGGTGTTCTCTACTGGTTGTAATCTCCTCCGTGGTAATTGAGATGGTTGACAAATTTTGCCAAAATCGTAATATTTTGGTTCTCCTCCTTTCCCATCACTCTACTTCATGACAAATAATTCGAAACTACTACTCAGTCCTTCTACTTCTCTGATTTCATATGGAACTGAGTTGAAGTGGATAAGACTGCGGAAGCATCAACATAATGATATTGTTGCAGAATACTTCTCAGTAATAACTTTGGAATGATTATGCAGAGTAGCGCGAACGTTAATGGAAAAGCTCAATTTAAAAATTCCCCTTGTGACTTACCACCTCACCGTGCTTGGTTTGATATCATTGATCGTCAAACTGCAGTGCATGGAATGAGTGTCCATTATATCAATCAAGGTTACTTGAGAAAAACAAACTTGAGTTTAAGAATTTTTTACCAGAAGGTATAGTCAGAAAAACCTATGACGCGACAGAGTCACAAGCAAAGTCTGGTAACCTTTTTGCCAAGGAGAGCTCCATGTCAGCAGTCTGGTAGTATTCGAGTATTTCGAGTGTAGAGGTCTACTTAGTAACTCTAGCACATGAATGGGTATCTTGTTGACAGATCTGTTTGAGCTACTCAGTGATATAGAGATTGTAGTTCTTGAAAGTTAGGTACCAATCTATCCGTATACATGCAAGAGTGGTACGCGCGTAGCACAGTGGTTGGAGGTGCCCTGCAATACGATTGGTCTTTGATTCGATCCCGCGCCATCAAGCTTTCGGTACCTTCAAGGTCTCCAGATTGCTACCATACTTGTCTGGGTGGATAACAACAATGACTCGGTGCATCGGTAGACTATCGCAAGCCACTTTATAGGCTAGTTAAGCATTCAATCACCTTTACGATGCTTGAAGTCGGATGCATCACTCAGGGATCGATCAACACCGGAAACCAAATCTTATCGTTCTACGTATAGCAGTTACAGCCCCGTTTTGACATGACAAAGCTTTCCGATCTTTGAAAGTTGTTTATCTTCAAAATAAGTTCAGTTCGCTCGAGATTCAGGTAAGATCTGTCTAGTTAACATTAGCAACCAAGCAAGGCCACATGTTGCATTACGCAAAGAATGTCGCAATTACGGTTAGCGTAAGCTCTTGCATTCATGATTTTAAAGCTCTGTCGTATCACAATATATAATGCAATCTTCTGACTTCTGGGATATCCATCGCTTTCCATATGCTGCTTTTTCATGGTGCGATTCTTTTTTCTTTCAATCTAGATAGGCAGGAAGTACCGAGATTTACTTACATAGAAGGTCATATTTTGAAAGGTCAACCACTGAAATATTGTACAATCCAAATTGACACGTGTTTGTTTTTATTAATTGTCTTGGGAAAAAAGTGGTAAAGTCCTAAAATTCTGTACTTTATAACAATAAAGGACCAGGAAATAATGGGTAGATTGTAGTATTTTGGTGGACTTTTAGTTTTGACAAGTAAACGTTTGTATTGAAAAGGCACTAACTCTTTTATAAAATACACAAGTGCAAAACAGAAAATGTGAGTAGAGAAACACACAGATCTTACTAGTATTTAGATTTTGTAATATAATAGTTAATAAAATTAGAGAATAGTGAAGGGAGAAATGGAAGATTTACTGGCTCTGACTCGAGCCACTCGACTATCAACGGGACTACAGGCGATACAGACGAATAGTTAATAAAATAGAGAATAGTGGTATAATTACACTGTATGTAGAGATGTGAAGAAATATGAGAATTTGAACATGAACGGATATAGTTTACAAGAACAATGCAGTGAGAATATCAATGGCCCCGTGCGTCTTAGGAGCCGTTTCCATTGACGAGAGCGATGAGCCCATCCTTGTACGCGCCGGAGCAGTCACCCTTGATCATGCTCTCCAACGTCGTTTTGTACATTGCCTGAAAATCATTTGTGCACAGACTTGATAACACGGAGGCTCCAACCCGATCTTTTTCTTTTCCAACGATCCATGTTCTAAACCGCACAACCCCACAATTCTCGCTGAAGAAACACTCTCGAGATTCGAACTGTGATCAGACGACATGCGGACAGACACAAGAACACAGCAGACTTCATTCGAGCTCGACGCCATAAAGTACTCGCGAGCAATATAACAGCTAGGAAAGAAAGAATTCATGACCAAATAATAAGCCTTCACACGGTCATACTGCAGGCTTTGCCACATGAACCATATGGAAATGGAGTCTAGGGTCATAGAATCTGTTGGAATACCACCTACACTTTGCCGTATTCTTTGTCGACTGCAAAAAAGGGTTTTCCTAGAACGAGAAGGTCAAACGCATTGGTGGAAAACTTTCTTATTCTTTCTTCTTTCCTATTTATTTCTATTTTTCTTAATTTTTTAAGAAGCTTCGTATTGATGACGACATCGTTTTTTCGAGGACCATAGGAGTAGCACAGACCATATCGTACGTCCTATGACATTGCATAACCATGGAAAACATAGAAAAGAGGAATTCACAATGTTTGCTTTTTACCCAAGCGAAATACAACCACAAGATTGCTGAGATATTTGCAAAGCCCCGTACCGCAGGTGTTTGCGGTGGGAAACAAACGCGCTATTGCCCTTTTCGGGGAGTAACGCGTTCACCGCCACACCTTGCGGTCCTTCGTCTCGCATGTATAAACTATAATAGACAGTAAATAAAAATTCTTTTACTGACAAATGCAAAGATCTAAGATCATGGGATGATGCTTTCACGCTTCAGTACACTGCTAAGCATATCACCATCATGGATGATGGTCACGAGGAAGAGAAATGAGTGGAAATATTGTAAGGCTGAAAACAGAAGCGTAGAGAAGGGAAGCATAAACAGGAAAGCTGTCGGACTATTGAAATCCTATCAATACCTTTCTAGAATCTTCGTGAAAATCTCGTCACAGAGTTTTGACCATCCGATGGCGCTGGATATCCACTTTCAGTCGCAGACGGCCGTTCTTGTCTAGCTACTGTCATGACACACTACATATCCACCCCACTTGGTTTATGTAGTAGTGGCGTAAACATTATGGATGACTATTTACATTGACGTGAATGGAATGAGTATTCCGCATGGACGGCGAAGGACGAACACTTGGACAGTTTAATGTATTAAATAGCTCTGGAATAAGTTGGTGCCAGTTTGTGGCTCCAGCAACTTTACCTTGTATCAATTCCAGGTCCGTTCTCATGCAGGATTTTTGGCTAACAACATTCAAAACAAGTCCAGGAGCCAATTTCGGCGATGATCTCCTATCACGACCTAGTAAAAGGTATGACCTCACTATTAGAAACTTTCTAAATTAATACCAAATGACCGAACCTCGTCTTCGTCGCAACTTGGTGCCGAAGCGTGAACGACAGAGATTGTCACAAGCGGCATTGTTTCCCAATTTTTCAACCGTAAACGTCAAATTAGGATCGTTGGTTGTTCAAAAATGATCTTCATAGTCGTGTTGGTATTGAAGAACACATCAATCCTGTTAACTATCCTACAGTCGCATGAAAACTCTTTCTCCGCTATTCCACAGCGTTTGATGGGCTGCACCTTCTCTCGAACACTTAGATGATATCGTCATCCTCTCTTTTTAGCATGTAGCTCCTCAGTGAAGCATCATTTCTGTGCTAACGTGCATGCTAAATCTTGCCATATAGCCTCTCTGTACTCGATATACCCTGCTCTGGTCAGTGTGTAGAATACAACCCGTATATACGCGAACACGTTCACCTGTACTTGCACATCTCTCCGTTTATTTAGATGGTACATCCCATTACAACAGAGACAGACCGTTTGGGTTCCACAACCGTTTAGGTCAAGGCAAGGACAACACCACTTTTGGCCCGTGTTCACCTACTCGCCACCATTTTGCCTGGCGACCAACCAGTTGTGAAATTCGTGGAAAGATCCGTAACACAATTAAAATTAAGGACATCAAAAAATTAAAAAGTGAGGGCGGATAACATGCAATGGGGAAATGATTGCTACTTAACAATTCCAAGGTAGAAGAGTTACTAGGTGTTGTTTGCAACTATGAAGTACTACAACTGTGGTCGCATTCTTATTAGCGTTATGCCACTTCCCTAACAAACACACCTATTTTACCCATACCTCTCCTATTATGGAATATACGATCATAAAGATATTGTAGATTTTACGTTCACCTATAGAGACCTTGAGCTATGTTTCAAGAAAACAGCCGGTACATCTATCGATGCGAACTTCTCAGTTTGAATATTTGACAAAATATTCAAGAAAATACTCTGCCGTCGTGGTCTAGTTGAATGTATATTCAGCGCGAAATATAGACGAGCCTGGAAGAGTTCACCACAGATGAACAATAGGAATGACGAAGAGGACCTGAAGTACTCTACGGCAATGTCACCATGTACAAAAGAGACCATAGGCGATGATCGCGAGGAAACGAATAGAGATTGAACCGGAGTTGGCACAATTCATTGACGAAAGTGATTAATTGTTGCACGAATACCACGTGTGGTGTCTATCACAAAAAGGGTACCGCATCTAGGTAATCCACAGACATCAGTTGTACGACTAAAGCTCGCACTCACCTGGAATTGATTCCTGATGTCAACCATGTCATATTCACAGCGAGTAACAACAAGTCGAATCAGGTCGTGATCTCGGGTGCCGAAACCCTGCAAATTGCCCTTTCCATTAGACTTGTCAAAAAAGTCAGCTCATACTAACTACCTTCATGCTTTCGTAAAGTAGTTTGGCAAAGTATGCAGGTCTATTGCGGGCGACCGCTACGACAGCAAGTAGACCATCCCGAATGTCGCCGGAGAACTCGGACTCTATCGCTTTCTCGATTGAATGGTTTGTTACCTGAACACACCTAGCTGCAAAACTCTTAAATGCCTCCAAATTCCAAGGTTATTTCAACCACTCTTCAATGGCATCCGACTGAAAATTTTACCTTAAGAAAGATAAAATAAAACAGAAGAGTAAAACTTCTTTTCTTTCCTTTATTTTCCAAGTGTTAACGAAGATTCAAAAAATTTACGGAGAACCACTTCGACAAAGTGTTGTGCTGACATCAGCAGTGCTATTTCGAAATCTTATTAGTTGACTCTGAGTTGTAAAACCTCACAACCTTTTGATACTCGTCGAATATTGCCCGGAGCTGGAAGAGGTTGTTGCTCGCTAGGATCGCGTTGAAGCAGCTTTCATCCGTGCCTAGTCGCCGCTCTCCAGCACTGTACAGTTTTCTCGCATCCTGTAAAAAAGAGCAACGAACTTATTTATCAGTAGGATGAGCAGAAACGCACAATTACGAAACATGAGAGATATGAGCGTTCGCTAATAGTTTAGGAAGAAGACAAAGAAAAGGACAAACTCTCATCAAGATTCGTCAACTGATGAATGTGAGTGATGCGATCACCGTCATTGTGTTTCACTACTGGTAAAAACGTGCTACGTGAGCGTAAACAACAAGGAATGATGCAGCGAAACCCGCCTGATTCGCCCGAAGATGATCGACATGAGTTGATTCGTCTCGTCCGCCAGCGCACAGAGAAACTAGAAGACGCTGAAACACATCCGAATCATGTTGATTGTTCTACAACAATAGAACGGTGTCATAGAGGTCTTTGCTTCAACATCAAAAGCAAAGTCTTCCTCAGTTGTGTGGTTTTCAGAAGAATGTTCTTGAGAGACTTTTAATTAAAATCAGGTGTAGAGTCAATCTTCTCATGCCTTATCAAGTTCAACATCGTGCTTAGTTCTTCCCAACAATAATTCTAATTGTTTTCGTTTTCGATGATAAATAAGGTAGAATAATTTGATGCCGCGTTTGATTGACGAGCCAGCATAAGATTGCCAAAAAATTTATCCGGGTAACGTTTCGACGCCTTCGTCTTCTTCAGAGCCGGAGTCATTCAAGTCGATTGTTCTCAGCCATTCATTCTTCCATTGTGAGTCGTCGTAGTTTTATCGAGGCGAAGCCAGTGAAACCTCTTCCAACAGGGCTCCGCTTCACTGGACTCGACTCGATGCGAGCAAGAAAATCCACATACGCCTATTATTAGCCTGTTATTCTGATGGCAGGGGTACATTACGCTTCCATGTGAATCCTATGCAGTTGGTCTTCACACGACGTACTCAGTGGAAGACATAGAAAGCGGTGTGTGTGTTAAATTAAATTCCATGTTCAATGTGATTGAAATCTTGGTTTGGCGTTTTCTTTGTTTGGTTATGGAGGTGTTTGGCCGAATAGATTGCTGTCAACTTGACCTTTCCAGGCTCTGAGGAAGGCGAAATCCGCCGAAACGTCAGCTTATTAGTGAATAAAGAATAAAATAACACCTCGCGTTTGCTCAAAAAGAATACGAAAAAAATCCACATAAGTCGGTTTACAAAAGTGAAAATAACTACGTCCTTACGTTTACTAATCAAAACTGCCACTTGATCAATTTTTGCTCCTAGAATCGTTGTCGTTTGTCCGTATACTAGTCCTCCACAGTAGGGCACGCTGAGCTTTTCACCGGTGAAAAGAAAGTCTCATAAAAGGGTGGTAATCTTCTTTCCCCTTGAACAAACGCGATCCACTGGGCAGCGTCAGCAGCGAAAGGGAACAATGGATACCTTACTTCTGCGCACTCATGTTCTCATTAAAGGAATTAGGTCTTATCCATTTTAATTTTGCTGTTATGCGAAACGTACAACAAATGGAGTATAGAGGTCGAATTACTAGAAGTTAAAGACAATGATTCTACAGTCTCTTAAAACACTAGCCCTAAGCCGGTCCCTATCGGTCCCCTTCGGCCAACATACCCACCTGGAAACAGCCGCTGGTATCGCCGATCAGGTCGGCTTCGAGCGATCTGGAGTAGAGCTGCTGATAAGCTTGACGAATGTCAGCGATTTGTTGATTTGTTCTTGAAGTCATGATTTCAATCAATATTGATTCCTTCGTTCCTAGACCCTGAATTGTATGTTTAATAGGAACGAACAGAAATTACTTGAAGCGTAAACAAAGTAACGGTATTCATGCCTGCATGGATCTGCGCAATTCCTTAGCGTCATAGACAGCTGTGGGCTCCATAAGCGCCAGAATTAGAGTTTCAAAGTCACCACTGAGTTCAGATTTCAGGTCCTGAAATGTAATCTTACACATTGAAGTACTTGACAAGACAATGTTTGTTCATCCGATACTTACCGAGCAAGGGATCTCTACAAAAACGAATGTACCTTCAGTGTAGAGTATAAGAGAAAGTATTGAACTTTTATGTACTAAGCACCCAGTTTGAGACATGAAAGCTTTCGGCGTCTTTTTTTATCACTGTGCCTTTCTATTCACTTATGAATAGACAGTGTAACAGCTGAGTAGTGGTTTCTTCCTATTCACTTTATTCGTTGTCCTCAGCCCCAAACATACTTGTGTCAACTTTTTTCTTTCTTTTTTTTTAAATTAATGAGAGCAATTTTTGCAAAAATTCCGTTATGACTTCGGAAGTGAACACAAGGTGTCTCTCTGTGAAACCTGTCGTATTTAGGGTCATGCAAAAAGCCCAAATTACGAGTTGAAAGCCTTGCAGAGGAAGACTGAGGACAGCGCAAGACCGTCATCGACGTCTGGCAATTGGACTCGGAATCAGTTGAAGAGGATCCAGAGTAGACTGTTGGAGAACAGTGAAGAACGATATCAGATCCTAAGTTTCTCAGGAAACTCGCAAGTGTACGTAAGTGAATTTCTCAAACCATTCTCAAAAATGTTCAATCACTCTCAAAAATGCTGACTACACTTGAAGCTAAAGGCATTCAATAAACTAGTAGAAAGAGCAAACTAATCTCCATGGTTTGAAGTAGAATGCTAAACGTTTCGAGAAGAACATGTGTTATGAAAATGTCTCTAACCTGTATACTATTGAAACCCGCAACTGTAAGGTAGGAAATTTCATAATGAACAACCTAATAGCAATATATCATTACGTCTATTTCTCAGACTCTCAACTCAGATACGATCCAGACTTGGATTGCAATATTTCGAACACTGGACAATGACCGCAATTTTGCCCTTGAACCACCTCCACTTAGCCGTGATGCGACTCAAAGGCAACTTGGTGTTCCACCCGAACCACATGCGCGTGTCGATGCACTACACTGTGAATCACGTCATCACTTTTGTGCTTACACGAAGAATTATCAAGGCGTTTACACGGTACTCTGACCTGCTGTTATGATGTTGAGACGAGAATTTTTCGTGGACACCACACGCGCGTGTTCTAATCGGATGCAAAAAAGAACAGTAAGTCAGACCTCTGTCCTGAGTTGTCTACCTATTAATGTTCGCAATTGTTACGGACGACTTCGAAGTGGGATTAGGTCCACTCAACTTAAAAACAAAATATGTATGGCCAAGTAAGACATACGTGGGAACCGTATTTGATCTTATCTAGTTGTGGTTTGATAGTTTGCAATCACTTCGACATCGCTGCATAACGATTAATGGACAAGACGAGCAATTCCTGCTTAGGAAATGAAAGGACACAAAATTGTTACACAATTTTAACTTGTTATTTGTAATTTCACGTGTGTGTCAAGTGGTTGGAGGCATCCTGCACGCAACACACACGTGGAATCGATCTCCGCGCCCATGGCCCACCAGGCCTTTCATCACTCCGGGGTCGGCAAATTGGTGCAAAACTTGTCTGGGAGGATAGCAGCACTGTCTCGATACATCGGTAGGCCATCACTGGTCATTGTAAAGGTCTGATATGCATTTAATCACCTCCAACGATACTTAATAAAGTCGAATGCATGGCGCATCCCTCAGGGATTGATCAACACCGAGAGCTCTATTTTTAGCTTTTATTTGTAATTAGTGTTAATTGTAAGCAGGCAGAAAATCTGAGAAGTACTACTATACACTACATATTTGTCTTATGCCATATTTCGCATTCTTTGAGGGTCTATAAGTTTCTCTCTTCACGGAAAACCACAGAATTCCTTTGAGCAAACATCATAATCCAGCAGCACTACACTTTCAGTCGCGATCGTCAACTCAAATACTCGAAACGATTGTGACGATCGGGCGCACTCAGAGCGAGTTCTACAGACACATATCACTTTGGTTTTATCCAACAGTGCAGTAAGGAAGTGGTAGGATATTTGGGAGAAGTACAGCCATTCCATGGTGACGGAACTTACCTGCTCAGCAAAAGAATTCAGCAGTACTAATCGTGTAGACCAAAAGACGCTACTTAAACAGCACTTGTTAGTTAGTATTTCATAGTCGGTTACCTTTATCAAATCTTTTCCGTACATCACTTTAAACGCTTTTGCTATCTCTTGTCGCTGCCAGTTCGTACGTGCACACAAAACACTTATCACCTGAAATATGCACTTCTAAGAAGACCTGTGAAAAAACATGTACATTTTTTATACCGTACTTGAAAACCAAAGAAATTAACAATGTGGTTTAAAGAAAAGTTCATGAATTTAATTAGGTGTTGATCCCCTGCATCATCTGTAATCTCGTGACACATCGAGCGCCAGAGAGCTTTCTACTGAAGATTTTATTAAATCTTATAAGTATGTGAGAATAACCCAATGTAGTTATTTGCTTCCGGTTCCTTTCTTTTAGGAATAAAAGAATAACCCTCCAAACCTTCTTGTAAAAGTACTCTTTATTCTCAGTGCTAATGTATGAAAGGTCAAACAAGTGTTATGCGAAACACTAGTGGAAGCTTCGCTAAATGTTCTAATTCTATGCCACACTATAGTATTATGATCAACAAAAGAGGGATTCACTAGGACGAAGTATACACCCCGATTGACGTGATGTAGAGGAAGGTGCAGACTTTTATAAACGATTTTCCCACTTTCCTTCTGGATGCAAAGAATATTCCATTTTAATTACAATGTAGTCACCTTTAATTTACTCCCTACTCTTTCTTAGTGGCGAGGTATCATGTGAAATATAACCATAATGATGCTGAGATATTTCCAAAACTTCGGGCCGCTGGTGTCTTCGGTGGGGAACAAGCGCGCTGTTACCCTTGCCGGGGACTAACGTGTTCACCACTACGTTATGCGAGTCCTTCGTTCCACCTTTCTCTCAGCCGCTTTATTGACTTATAGGTGGAAGATCACAGAGCATCATTATGGTTATATTTCGTTCAGCCGCGTTGTTGACTATAGGTGCTAGAAAAAGGCAAAACGAAGTGCTCGCTTGGTGTGGTGGTGGACGCGTTAGCTCCCTAAAAGGGTAATAGCACGTTCGTTCCCTCACCGCAGACACCATCGGTCCGGAGTTCTGCACATATCTCAGCTTCACTATGGTTATATTCCGTTTTAACCCCAGGATAAAGCCATATTAATTTCATATCGTTGTTAAATTTCTTTACCATCAACGAATGCTCTTTCCATTCTCTACAGCATTAGATACCAGCTGTTCACCCGCGAATACTTTTTCTGCTCCCTCTCTACACAGCAGAGTTCTTAAGAACAAAGGAGATATATTGCTTCCTTCTTTGATAGGTTTCAAAAAAATCTATCATTCTACAACATATTTCAATATGGTAGGTCGCCAAACCTTCGAGTTATTGCAGCCGAAGCCTTTCATCGCCTTTCGCAGGGTTTCAGCATCCTGGTTGGCGTTAAAATTTGGGAATGGGCGCACCGACGGAGTGCCGAGCATCTCTGTAAGTATTGAAATCAGTTTTTCAAAGCTGTCTTAGGTACACAAGATGATGCCGACCATAACGATTCCAAATTATACGACCACTAAAAGGCGATTCAATTTATGATTTATCAACATTTCAAACTATATACGTTTTTCCTATGCACAGAAACGTAGTTCTCTATCTTTTATATCCGTTTGTACAGATTTTTGTGGATTTACATCACAATGAAATGATGTACAATCGTCGCAAATTTAGTGAGCAACAACAGTCATCATCGTTTCATTCAATTCTCACTCGTCTAAAAAGAGCACGGAACTAGTTCGCTGCTGATGATCATCTGCCCCACGTTGCCTAAATCATCGTCGGCCATGGCGTGAGTGGAGAGCGAATCCGGCAGCGCTTCGTCATCGGGTTAAACACAGTCGTGAACGAAGACCTTTTCTTATTGTTTCCTAATAAAATGGAGCCATTGCCTTTCACTTTAATCCTTAGTGATTCCAATATGGAAAATGTCCTTCAACGATTATTACACCCTCACCATTAGGTATCCTTTTTTAAGCGATTCAAGTAAATATCGAGTTTTTCCTTAAAATCCGCTGCTGCTCCGAACTGTGCAAAGAAGTCTTCAACAGTAATTAAGAAATTGGGAGGAACGATGTGCAGTACAAGTCTAGTCACAGTCATACTTGTGTGCCATATGTTTTCATGTTGCTAATAAACAAATAATACTTAAACTGTGGACAAACAACTATGAACCACCGATTCGGATCAACGGCTCTGATGAAGAGAAAGATGTTGAAACGTTACCCGAATAAACCTTATTATCAACCTCGTTGGGTGCGTGTGGAGTGGTGGTCGGAGGCGCCCAGCAACACACGGGATCGATTCCCTCGTCCCTGGTCCACCAAACATTCCATCTCTCCGGGGACGGCAAATTGTTACCAGACTTGTCTGGAAGGATAGCAACACTGAGTAAATACATCGGTAGGCTACCGCGAGTCATTGTAAAGGCCAGATATGCTAATTACTTCCAAACGATGCTCAATGACGTCAGATGCATGGCACATCTCTCAGGGAATGATCAACGTCGAGAGCTTTACCAACCTCGTGTAAGCTCAACAATCTAAACACATATTAACCAATGCTTAATTTCGATTTAAAAAAGTTCTGCAGCTAGGACTAGATAGCGGTATTAAAATAACCGATGAAGTTCCTTCCATCCTCAACACTTGCGAGCATTTCCCACTTCCATTCATAAACTATCACAGCTTCACTTCCTTTCAACAGTTGTGATAGGTGTTGACTGATGTTTCTTAAGATGTAGTCTATACAGCATCCTATAAGGTTTGCCCCATCTGGATGGTACATCTCAGTAGACGTGGCTCTAACACCCAAACTTGTTATATTTACCTCGCATTCACCTAGAATTTCCTTTGCAGCTATTCCATCTCGTTATTTCGGGCCTCATGGAAATCAATGTTAATTCAACTACACCTCCCAACGGTTTACCGCCTCATCGTGGCTGGGAAGTGTTCCTGGGTGACGGGCTGTGATGTACAGCGGGGGATTCAACCCCCAGGCAGGGTCTCCCAAGCTGACAAGAAGTCTGACGTTTCCATCAGGAAGCCTAGCTAAGAGTAAACCAATACCAGAGAGCACCGCCGTCCTGGTATCAAAGTCGCAAATCTCCCTCTGATCCACAAGAGCTGCGACTGCTTGTGGTGGAGGCGACCTGGAGCAGACTTTGGTCAGACTGACCTTGGGATTCTAGGGAACCACAATGACTTAACCAGCAAATCTCCGAAAAATGGAGAGTGTTGGGACCCGCACAAGCAGTGAATACGGGGTGTTCAAGCAACAAGCAAGTAATTCAACTACAACCCAATCCAGTAACAATGAAGTTTCCATTCATGTATATTATATATATATATATATATATATATATTCAATCTGACCAGTGCTCTTGGCTTGTTAGAGGTCACGAAGAGTATCACCTTCGTTGTCTTTCTCCTTCGTGAAAAGCACCTGACAATCATGGCGTTTCGTGAACAACAATTCCATCAACAAAGCAGGAATGAAGCAGATGCTGGCAATCAACTGCCATCCGCTTATTATTCCATGTGATATTCAATGGTGACTGGCCATATGTTTTTTTGATGATATGGTCAGATCTTGTGGACGCTAGGTGCTATATTTGCTGATTTCTCACCGATGAGATCGTTTATCAGACTTCGGAGGAAGTAATTGTGTAACCATATACGTCTTATCTGAAATAACATGGAAGCGGTGATTTATATGATTGTCAAAGATATCCGAGTCCTGGGTGATTTTGACCTTCTCCAATTAATTCTTTTACCTTTGCTCCTTTTGGCGATACATTCATCCGCATGATACGTGTGCCCTCTTCGCTGATGGCTTCAAAACATCGCGCACTTACCCAGTCATTTGATTATAGGATTCATTGCCAAATCATCATGCAGGACAAAGTGCGCGTACGCATAGGTACACCCTCGCATGCATGCTGATTGAGTTTATCTGCATACTTCCACAGGGAAACCATTCCTGAAACCCACTTGCGTTTTTGGGCAGGTTCAAGGTCGCCTTTAGTAAGTGCCTATCCCATTATTGTCCCATCTAGAGAGGTGCCACAAGACCTCGCAGCTGACCATTTTGTGATTCCTCAGAGGCGGTTAATGTGCCATAAATTAACTTATGCATTTTTGAAACAGATCTATTGTTAACCTCGAAAAGATCAATGTATGTTCCATTTCTCGGCGATTCCAGGATAAAACGACAGAAAAGGCCAATCAATTGGGCAAGATGCACTCTTTTATGTGATGTGCTTTTTAATGAAAAAATTCGGCACTTTGACCACACATACGTATCACAACTTAATGGGGGTAGCGCACTGAAAGTGATACCATCCATTACGAGGAAGGTACAAGAAACTCAGGCGTTGGTTCGGTCCCATGCTGGCCATACCAAGACTCCCATTTCTTCGGGATCGCAGAATTGGTGCCAGATTTGCCTAGGACCAGCTCACTCTGTCCAGTTTACAAGCGAACGCCTAAGCACGGCTATACAAGAATTCCAGTGCGAATCGACTCTACCAGCATTCAAAGACATTAACAAGTAAAAACAGAAATCCTCAAGTAGCAGCCGAACCCACGAGCAATAGTTCGAAAACGTTCGTGGGTAAGGAATGCGAATGAATGAATCGAATATAAGTAATGAGATACGTAGAATACATGATATCGAGTCATGTAAAGAAATCCAGGCTCATTACGACCACTCAGAGCCAACTGTGACACTTGAAAATGTATGTTTTCTACGTTCGTTCACATCTCACAAACTGTAAGTCCGAGTTGAAGGGCTTTTCAAAAAACATATTGCTGTGAAAAACATTCATACCTCAAAATATGATGGACAGTTTTCCTGTTCGATGACTTACTGCTTTACATCGACACTCTGCTAGCGATCAAAATCATAAAGGGTAAAGACTGGGTGTCAACATTGTCATTTGTTTGTGTTGATCGAATAACTTTCTATCAATGCCAATGTAAAGCGGCGATGATAATGAATTGTGAACATAACAAAGACGACCCACTTTAGACCAAAAATTTTTAGCAAGCAAAAAATTTAGGATGGAGTAAAATGGTAATAAGGCGATAAAATTAAAGGGTCATCATTTTTTACGGTACTCGATGATAGACCTAAGCATAAAATGACAGATTTTGCCACAAGGTCAAAGTGAATTGGGAACTGATGTCAGATGTTTTAGGTCATGCCGACTAATGACACTTACTATTAAATAATGCAATGGGAACAAGGATTAATAACGGAATCCAGAAGGGGAAATCGCGGAGAAAGAATCTTCTGAATCTAACAAGGTCACTATTCTCTCTGATTGCTACGGTGGAAGTTGTTCTGATACGTGGGCCACTCTTTTCGAGATGGACAGCAACACCCAAACGGGAGATAAAGTGTGGCTGAGGTTCGAGGTTCTTGTTCGGACAAGCAGGCAGTTGATATCATTGGCGAGCACAATAAACGGCATTATGTTTTGCGTTTATCGTTATAAATGACATCATACTATAAATACACAGGGGACTGGTGATGAGAACAGATGAGAGAGTGATGAGAAGGGACCGATGGGTGAGATCGATAACAGCTGCGTACTTTTAGCACTCGTAGAAACAAATAAGGTCGTTGTCGTTGTCATATCGCAGGATGCCCTTTGGAGAAAGGATTAAGTCAGAAGACAAGATTCGTTAACTAGAAAGAAGACGCGGTCGTATAAAAACCCTGAATAAAAACGGGTGTGTCTTCATAACAACAATAATTCTGATCCTCAGGTTGTATTACAGATATGGCAACAAGAGCATGTATAACTCTTAGCGCTCAACTGGATTTATCGAGGGTTAAAAAAGAACAGAGATGGAGTTGACTGATGAATTTAAAGTTGATTCGCCACTTTGCCATACATAATCGATAAAAATAAGATGAACGTGAGCATCGGTTATGAGCATCAGATTTTGTTCGCTTGAAGGCCTTCGAAAGGAACGTTTTTAGAGAAAACCGTCAAGTGATTGAGTTCGAATGGTGAACTAATGGAACCTGCTATACACATGAGGTGTTCCATACGTTGCAGGTAAAGGACTGGCACTTTCGGTCACAGAGCTGCAATTTTCCCGAGTAGATCGTTCAGGATACGGAACGGTCATGCGAATCAGCTGGAGAGCGTGGGGGCAGTCCCACACAGTCGAACGATGAGTCATGCGAAAAGGCTGCCTGTTGAGGGAGAGACAATTTCGACACGAGGTGACTCATCGATGCCGTCAACGCCTTTTCTCTACCCAGAATAGTTCTTTCTAGTGAGAAACTCAACTACAGTGACGCGTGTGCTGGCTATGAATCAACATCGGAGTGGACAATGAGTAAGAAAGTCAGTCGACAAAAATCAAAAAATCTCGAAGAAAAAAAAGCACTAAAGAGTGAGCATAATGGATGAACACAGTGACAAAACGAGGAAAACACGAGTGATTGGAGGTTGTGTCGATGATGTTGTGGTTGTGCGGAAGAGTGCTCTCCTGCGTGCCGACTAAATATATGAATGGACGTGTGTGTTCGGCCAGACATGGCCCACCTCGTTGGCCGCCGCTCGCGCCAGTCAGCGCCAAATCAGCATGCGCCGTCCTTGGAGATTTGGTGCTCGCACTGAACTTCGTAGATATCCCCGACTACTCCACACAATTCGGTGTAATGTATTCGACTAGTTTTGAAATCCGGAAAGTTTGATAGTCACAAGTGCTTATTCTGAAGTGCTACTGAATTCTGAACTAGTTTCTGTTTTGAATTCTCAACGTTGAAAATCACAAAGGAAAGGAAACAATTTGAGGAAGATCATCCATATGTCACCGGTTATCGTGTCATCAGAGGTGACGTCATGAATTGAACATCAAGGCGTTTGAAAATCAAAATTAATAGAACCATTTAGTGAAAAGGCGGTTTTGACAACTACGGACACAATTGTAATCACGTGCATTGACCCCGATGAATCTTCTCTCTGACCATTTTTTTCACATAAACATTTCTGCACCATATTTGTATTAAATTGAAAGAATGCAGGCTTTTTAAGCAGTCAGAGTAACACTACTGCTAATGCCCAGGGTTCCGGTCTGGGAGAGGAACACTTCGAACCGAACGTATTGCCTTAAAATCCCTGCCAAAAGCGGCAAAAACTCAGTATAAAGGTAAATCTGCTAATAAAAAATATTTTTCGTGAACGTGGATGTACTCGTATACTAAAAAGAATAATGTTCTCGGTATTGATCAATCCCTGAGGGATGGGCCATACATTCGACTTCATTAAGCATCATTGGAGCTGATTGAATGCATATCTGGTCTCTATAATGACTCGTGGTGGCCTACCTATATATCAAGCCAGTCCCGCTATCCTCGCAGACAAGTCTGGTACCAATATGCCAACTCATGGGGATGGAAGGCTTGGTGGGCCATAGGCATGGGTACCGATCTCATGTGTGTGCCGCAGGGCGCCTCCGACCACTGCACCGCACTCGCCCTTACTCGTATATGGAGGAAACGGATATATATTAGCGACATTAATATGCACTAGCATGTTCTGGCAATTGCTGTAGAAAGTCTTTCCAACCGAAAATGACAACAAGCTCTGCCAAGTAATTGAATTTTTGAGTAACGAAAAAATCCTGGAAAGTTTCCTTCAATTTACTTGGCTTTATCAAAGTTTTGATAGTAAGGTTCAAAATAGACAGTAAAGCACACTTACGTGCTCCATGGAATCCTCCTTGGTTATGCGTCTGTGGCATTCCTGAATAATTTGTTCCGGAAGTGAGGTGTCCCTGTGGTGGATAACCACTCGCTTGCTGTGGAAATGGCGGCGGATGGGAAGAATATCCCATGGCACCTTGAGGAGGGTATCCACTTTGATATGGGGCTTGACCTGCACCAGGGTAACCAGTATTAAAGCCAATCGGTGGTGGTGGACCTTGATTTGGAACACATTGCCCAGGTTGTGGTAATCCTTGAATGTATCCTCCTTGTTGTGGATTGCCTCCCTGTTGAGGATAGCTGCCTTGGAACGGAGGTCCATAAGATTGTGGTGGGACTCCTTGTTGTGGATATCCTGGTTGAGAATAGCTTCCAGATTGACCAGTGGGATAATATCCTGTGCTTTCTGGCACAGAATTAGAGGGATACCCTCCTTGGTAGTTGGAACCTGGATTTTGGTTGGCATGATCCGACTGTGGTTGTTGATTTCGCCCAAACTGATTCAATTTGTTTTCCTGAAAAACAAAAAATATGGCAACAATTTATTAAAATATGGCTCTAAGGTTTTACACTTTTCACTTGTAAACAATCTAGTTTTTAAACCATAAAGGGGTAACAAGAGGATTGTTTCTGAGTGGAGGGTTCAGTCAATGGAAATGCAATACAGAGCTATTTATGTTAGATCGTAGGTGTTTCTTAGCACGCATGTGCGTGAGATTGAACTCGATTAAACAGTTAGGCAGAGCGATTGCCTACTTGAATCTACTACTACGATAAACCAAACTTCGAGGATTTCCAAAGAAACAAAAAAGAAACAGGAAGATCAGTGAATTCTCGATCCATTACCGCGCCTATTCCATTTCTTTGGAAAATGGATTTTACGGTACAGTTTCAGTTCATTTGCAAAGTAACTTCAAAGTCTTAATAAAGATTAGATTCTGATTGGGCTATTCCTTCATGATAAAAGTTGATAACTCGAGGGGTTGAAAAGCGCTTTGAACGAAGTAGATGTCTTACCAGGACGTCCTGGATACCGGACATGACGAACTTCTTCAGCGACATCGTCGGTGGAAATCGGTGAAGCAGACGATGGGAGTGATTCGGCCGGCGATTCGAGAGGCAGTGCTCGTCAGGCAACAGCGATTTCGCTCGTGACTCAGCACAACACAGCTGGGCTGTTGCGCCCCGTCCGGTATGAAATAGATGGGGGTGAGAGAATGCGTAGAGCGAGACAGACGGGTATGACCGGCGATGATTCACCCTATTACGGTGGAGTAGGACAAGTTCTGTGTTCGAAAATGAAAAAAGAAAAACAACGTGTCATGCGCTCAGCGGTCGATTTGGTGATGCTTGAATGCTGAGTCGACGTGGTAGTCGCATTAGGTGACGAGAACTGATCAGTGCTTACGCTTTGAATGAACACTACTCTAGACTGGTCTGAATGTTCAGCGTAAGTATACAATTCCGAAAGAGGGAAAAAAGGAAAGACCTTTCCCATAGTTAGATCCAGAGCAATAGTTCAACGATAACAAATCTAAACGCCACAATTTTCGGCAGGAGTACTCCAACTTTATTAAGCTGTCACATGAATAAACCCTTCTTGTCTACCTCTCATTATTTGGCGCTAAATATCGCTATCGATCCTGGAGTTAACTTGGACTACTCCTTTGTAGTATCAATCTATTCTGTGAACTATTTCTTTTTAAAAAAGACTAATGGAAGTCTAGAAAAGAGTCTTTGTAGTCGTTATTAACGCGACTACTCCGAATTTTAATGGAGCAACCTTTCAAACTACAGAGGCAGTCAGGAATTGAAACAACTGTTGTTTGGATTATAGTTTTTTTTTTCATTCCCTTAGAACTTCGATCTTTGCAAAAAAACGAAGAGATTTATGATTAAGTTTTATATCCTGGGCAAAGTGGAGCTATACATAAGATCTAGTGACAAAGTCAAATATAGTACCATCTATCATTATCCAAAATAAGTGAATTGCAATGTTAACTTTTAATTTGGTAACTACTACAGCTTTTTATGGCAGGGCATTACGCGAAATACAACCACAACCGTGCTAAGAAATTTGCAAAACTCCGGACCGCAGGTGTCTGCGGCGGGTAATGAACGCGCTATTACCCTTTCCGGGGGCTAACATGTTCACCACCACACCATCTATTAAATGAATTGTCTTCTTTTTTTCTTTTTCTTCCATAACTGTGAATAACTGTGTTACGTAAATTATTTTATCCCCATTTTTAAAAACTTTGTCTCGGCTTCTTCAAATTGACTTTCTATTGCTGAGAACCCTCATATTACATGGAAGTACTCTGTGAACGAAATACGTTCGTAGAAATGCCCTCTACTCTAACTAAAGTAATTCCGTAAACTACGAATAATTATAAGTTGATTTTCAAATAAATGCAAGCTTTGTCTTAGTGTATGTATTCGGAAGAGGTCGCGGAGCACCAATTTTTCGATCCTTCATACCCTCCCGAACAGTTTTAGCTAGAATCCACTGAATACCGTGGAATTCAAGGCACGTATCCTGGACACGGCCTCGACTGACGTTTTGTTGGCGACGATCATCGTCGACGATTCCGTTTCTGCGTTTCGAATAACGAGTTGCATGGATAGGAGACGACGTCCGTCCGCTGATTGAATGCATAACCTAGTCTTAGTATCAAATAAAACATTATGACGGTATGATTAGAAGATGGTAAATACAGTAATTTTTACTATGTAGAATTGTACGAGTATTCTTCACAGTTAATGCAATCAGCTGAGAGGCTAGGGAAATAACTGAGGACATTAGCGCATCGATTTAGTAAACAGTGAAACATGATCGCAAATCATATGGGGAAAAGGCAATCTCTATATTACGCATTGCAGTGAATGGCTGACTAGCGTATCGGATCGATTTCCATATGTACCAGACGTTCCAGAAAGAAATCACGCAGCATTTCCGCTGTAAACGAGGACTGGTGTTGGGTCGAAGTGAAAACGATCGCAGTCCTCGATGTGCTGTGTCAACAAAAATGACTGATGGTACTGTAGAAAAGCAGCTTCACATTGATGTGGGGTATACCAAGTAAACTGTGTATTTGCAAAACTCGGAACCCCAGGTGCCTGCGATGGGGATCGAACACACTATTACCGGAGTTTTGCAAATATCTCAGCATCATTGTGGTTGTATTTCATATTCACACACTCCACCGTACAAAATTGTAGTAGGCAGTAAATAAAAACTTAAAATTTAAACTGTGTTCTTCTCCAATAAGCTGACACGAGGCTGTTATTGTAGACTTTATTAGGATACAATAGCTGACGTTTCGGCGGTTTCACCTTCTTCAGACTCGTTTATTTGTTGTATTTAAGTTAGTTGATGGATAGCAGACACACAGAGTAATATATCGCCCATGTATGTCCAGACGGAACAGTTACAGCGTCCAGAAAGGGAATGCAAAAAATCATCCACGTCTACTACTCAGATCTCTTCGATATCCACGTCCACCTCCCGTCATATGAAATATGATGTATGTTGGGAAGGATAGATCTGTTGTACCACCGGTTCTCCCTTTCGAAATCCAACATGCCATTTCGTCGGTGAAAAAGCGAACAGCACCAGGTCCGGACAGGATAAGACCGGAACACCTGAAGAACCTACCGCCAGTCCTCGTAAACACACTGGCTCGGCTCTTCACACGTTACCTGTCTGAAAGCAAGGTCCCTACTAAGTGGAAGAGCAGCAGGACCGTGTTATTGTTCAAGAAGGGTGACGTGCACGATACCGGCAACTATCGCCCGATTTGCTTGTTGTCTGTCGTCTACAAACTTTTCACTCGAGTCCTCCTAAACAGGATTGACAGAAGACTAGACGAAGGACAGCCATGTGAGCGAGCAGGGTTTCGAAAACGATTTAGTACGATGGACCACATCGACATGGTAACAAGACTCATTGAAGTATCGCGAGGGTACAAAAGTCCGCTCTGTATCACTTTCATCGATTTAAAGAAGGCCTTCGACTCAATGTTTTTCTTCAATAAGCAGGCTCGAAGTTGTTATTATAGAATTTATTAGGGTACAATAGCTGACCGCCCATGTATTACTCTGTGCGGCGGTTATCCATCAACTAACTTAAATACTTACAACAAATAAACGGCTCTGAAGAAGGCGAAACCGCCGAAACGTTAGCTGTTGTACTCTAATCAATTCTATAATAACAACCTCGTGTCTGCTTATTGAAGAAAAACATCAGATTATCAATCAATGCCGAGGTTAACAGAGGGTCGGCCTTGGGAATTTAAACTGTATATTTTCGTAGTGACATCGATTTCAGCTACACTACGACGTTTGGTTGATTCTATTCCGAAGGCCAATTATTTCCCTCTTTCGTGCACGAAGCCACAGAATATGAGGCACCTACCACTTGGACGCAAATTTTTAAAGAGATTTAAGTAAATGTGTACCTGGAATTGTAGGGTGTGCAAGAAAGCCTTCTAAATCTGGAGAGTGAAAACACAGCGCCCTATTCTCAAATTTGCGCGGATGTCATGGAGGGCGATGCCTAATCTCACATCGGTTACGGACTTGGGCAACTCGCTCGTTGCTCGCTCTCAGCACGTAGTAAACGATGATGGTTTTTCGACAATAGGTGATGATTTGTAGATCACTAGTTTACTTGAGAGGTTCAAAACATGACATAGTTAAAGAAGAGATTGCTTTAAGATAATGTGGAAGTCCTGCTTTCATCGAAAAAGCTGAAGGAAGTAAATCGGAGAGGAAGATAAAGGATACAAACGGGTAAAGCTCTCGGCGAACAAGTGGACAAAAGATAAAGTGCCCGGTATTGATAAATTCCTTACGAAAGCGCCATGTATCTATTACCATTCGAAGCATTTTAGGGGTAGTTGAACTCAAATATGGCCTATGCAGTAAGTGGAGGCGGTATACCGATGTACCAAGGCGGTGTTTTTGATGTTACCAGACAGGCCTGGTAGGAATTTACCAACACCATAGAGATAACGGCACTGATGGCGGGTTAGGTGGAGTTGAAACGGCACCCATGTGTGCATTGTAAGTCACGTCCAACATTGCACTGCCCTACACGATTCTCAGGTTCAGATATAAGGAACGTTAGGACCGTACACTCCGAGAGCACTGTGTTGGTTTGCGAGGAGGATTTTTATTATTGTTCATGTGTTTAACAGAGGAGCTGCTTATGATTGCATTTGATAGGCCAGCACTTAACGTGATAAGAACAACTGCAACATTTGCACTGGACAATGTTAAAAGTGATAGTTTCGATGTAAGAAAGCGATAGAAGAGGCGACCTGCAAAATAGACGAGTAAAAAATTCACTTTGTCCACTTATTTCAGAACAGTCTGGTCAACACACAACTATGGTTGATAATTAAACAACGTCGACAATTCTACACATCAGCCATTTGGTGCCTGAACATTGAATTATGGAATATCACCGGCACACACAATGTCAACCCAGTCTATGAAGCCCTATGAAATAAAGTCTTCTACAGATATCACGTCTTTGAGAATCAGAGATCACGATTTACACATCAGATGGTAAGCGTAGATGTAGGCTGGTTATTTGATGACAAAAGCTACGATAAGGTGGCGAAAGATGTTCAGCGGTATTTGTGGTCATTGTTAACGAACTGTATTCACATCTGAAACGATTTATGGACCACGGATTCGGCTGTACTTGTAGATGTCTCCATGCACAAAGTAGATCATCTCCATGGGCGACAGCTGCCACTTGATGAGACTAGTGAATGACATGATAGCTCTATTCGCAAGATTCCTGAAGACGGATATCTAAATCTCCATACAGATATTGATCTCCTTCCCTACCAAAGCATTATCATTCTTGCTTAAATACACAAAAAATCTCCACAAATAATAGTCTAAACTAGACTAGACTATCAGTTTTTACATAGTCCTCCCAACGGTTTACCGCCTTATCGTGGCTGGGAGATGTTCCTGCGTGTCAGGCTGGCTGCGGTGTACAGCGGGGGATTCATCTCTATGGTAGAGTCTCCCAAGCTGAGAAGGAGTCCTGCCTTTATATCAGGAAGCCTAGGTAAGAGTAAACCAATACCAGGATCCACCACAATCCTGACATCAAAGTCGGATGGTTGCAAATCCACGGATCCACAATGACTTAACCAGCAAATCTCCGAGAAATGGAGATTATGCTGGGGCCCGCACAACCACTGAGGACGGGCCGTTCAAGTATCAATTAAGTAAGTAAATACTCTTCTAGAGCTTGCTAAACGTTACTACTATATTGAGTCGTCGTAGAAAACGTTGCTAGGACTGTTTCAATCTGACCATTCAAAGTATGCACTATCGGAAGGAAGCGATAAGTTTCAAGCAAAAAATTGCATATATATATATATATGCGTAAATTATGTGTAAATTGTTGGTTGTAGTTAAAACTTGCAACTTGCATGTTAAGAGCGTTAATTCTTCATTTTTTTATTTTTTATATAAACCGCGTGTGGCGCAGTAGTTGGAGTCCCCACTGTGACACACACGTGGAATCTATCCCCGCGCACATGGCTCACCAAGTCTTCCATCCCTCCGGGGTCAGCAAATTGGTACCAGACTTGCCTGGGAAGATAGCAGCACTGACTCGATACATCGGCAGGCCACCGCGAGTCATTATAGAGGCCAGATATGCATTCAGTCACCTCCAATGATATTTAATAAAGTCGAATGCTTGGCGCATCCCTCAGGGATTGATCAACGCCGAGAGCTTTATCCTTCATCCTTTATCCTTTTATATGACCCGTCTTCACGTTTATTGTGCAGATCCCAGCACTTCTTACATTTGATTCGTTTTCTCCCATCCATTGTCCATGAAGATTTTCCAATTTTACGTGTGATCTCGGTTGCTGCTTGAGGATTTTCATTTCATCTTTAATGTCGTAGAATGCTGGTCAAGCAATTCTCTCTTTCTGAGATAGTCAGGCTGGAGTGCTCTCAATTGGATTGCAGAGAATGATTTTTTCCCCGGACAAGTTCGGTACCAATTTCTTGACTCCGGAGGGATGAGAGGCTTGGTTGGCCCTAAGCGGAATCGAATTAGCACCATGCCCATGATGACGGACATCACAACATGCTCATGATGTGCTATCCGCTCCGTTAATTCTTTATAGGATGGGCAAATTGTATGTGTGCATAAATTATAAATTGTACACTGGAAAGAAAAGTATATTGCACACCATAGTGATTAGGATAAATGTTTCTAAAGACAAACTGTATTGCACAGTATTTTTTCAAAAGGCCACGCCGAGTGAGGAAATCATTCGAGGTCCAGATGATTCCTTGCTGCTACTACGACCACCCAAATCGCAAGGGTGAACTGCTGTAGCCATCAAATTCGCCATCGCCATTCAACTTGGATCATCCCGCCTCTGAACAAGGTGAAGGCCGCTAGACAATCGTCTGATAGTAGTTTTATCAACCCCGTATTAGCTAAGAAATCTAAAAAACTGTGCTGAGGCACATTGATGAGAATATTATCTATAAACCACACTGAAGAAACTGTCTCAATGATTTATCGTCTTATCATGGCACAAGTCTACGCCGAAATGTCGAACTTCAATGTTCAAGCACAGTATGGGAGATATGTCTGTACACTCT